CAAAGCAAGCAGCCTGTTATGTCACAGCTCACAAGTGCATCAGTGTTGCTCGACAGTGTACTTCTGTTTATAAAACTACCCATTTATCAAGTAGGTGATCAACTTAATGTACTAATTTCGCCAGCTTCTTCATGAATGTACGAGTCAAATAGCACGAATTACGATAGAAAATTTGGCGTTATAGCCCTTTCAACGGAAACTTTGCAGTGCAAACTTAGGAGACATGAGATAGAAGACTGGATAGGATGCTGGTTCCCTGTTATGACTTCGCTTCCCTTATGCTCAGTTCACCCCAATAAGCTTGTTAAGCTATGCCACAGCCCGCCCAACATTGCACTCTGCTAAACCATGTTCTCATTTGTCGTTGGCCGCATTGCTCAAAGTACGAGACACTCACGCGAGGCAGTGGGGAGAGGAGGTCAACCAGGAGGAATATGCAGAGAGGTGGGCAGATATCAGCTCTCCTGGTGCAAACGGAAACAGTAGGTTACACAGGTCGAGGACCTGTGACATAAAAGCCAGTTAGCAGTCTGGAGTATGCACCATGTAAATCCCGAACACTACGACAGCGTGCGGGGAACAGCGTTGAGCCTATATGGCGATGCTTTTTCATAAATTGTCACTCTCATCAAACATCAATTTTTAGGATGCCCAATATGTGACAAGAGCTTGATATTGTACTGCCTACTGTAGAACTCATGCACAACAAAGTGCCACTTAAGATTTATTTATTTATTTATTGTACCCTCAGGGCATACAGCATTATAGAGGGGAGTGGGTTTAGAAGACAAAAAATACAAATGAAACGTGAAAAACAAATCACATTCAGTACATGCGTACAACACTCGAGAACAATGTGTAAATGACAACGCTTACACAATATCTAACAAGGAATCAAACAAGGAATCAAAAAATCAAACAAGGAAGCACCGCGACAAAAAAAAAGACGAAAAAAAATACCGTAATGACGATCTAACACACAAAGAAAGTACAAAAAAAATATTACAACATGGCACAACGAATCTGCGATACACAAATGAACGGTAACCGAACAGCAGCAAACAAAACCAGGGAAAAAAAATGCGTTGAGCACATCAATGCATAAAATTTTCGAGTGCTGCCCGAAAGCGTTCGTGATTAGTAATCGTGACTAGTGACGCAGGCAGGTTGTTCCAATCATGGCATGTTTTTGGTAAAAAAGAATGGGAGTATGTTACGGTGTTTTGGCGCGGAATATGAACCTTGTAATGATGGTCGAGGCGTTCAGATAGGAAAAAAGGAGGGTTTAGCCAACGTGATTTAAGTATGGGGTTATGGTGATAAGCTTTATGCAGCACACAAAGGCGAGCAAGTTTCCGGCGAGTAGCAAGAGTAGCAAGGTCAAGGCTGGATTTCATGTTAGTAACACTGGAAGTGCGGTGATAGTTGGAAAGTATGAACCTCACGGAGCGGTTTTGCACAGCTTCAATTTTATTAGATAGTGTTACATAGCCAGGGTCCCAAACAGAGCAAGCATATTCAAGCCTAGGGCGCACGTAGGTTATATATAGCTGCTTTTTTAAAGAAGACGGGGACAGCGAGAAATTTCTTTTCAAGTAGCCTAGCATGCGGTTTGCATTAGATGTTACATATTCAATTTGGCGCGCCCAGGATAGGTTATTGATTATGTGCACACCGAGATATTTGTAAGTTTCAACTGACTCTAGTAAGGTATTTTTAAGAAAGTAATCAGGGCTAGGTAGTTTGTTACGCGAAATTCTCATTGATTTACATTTAGAAACGTTAAGATCCATGTGCCAGAGGTTACACCAGGAAGTAATGTTGTTAAGGTCGGATTGTAGACAGGCAATATCAGTATCGTTAGTAATTTTACGGTAAAGCACACAGTCATCAGCAAAAAGGCAAACTGGAGAACAAATGTTAGAAGGCAGGTCGTTAATGTATATTAGAAACAGTAAAGGCCCCAGCACAGAACCCTGAGGTACTCCTGAATGTATTGCCACCTCGGGAGAGTCAGTTTCGTTAATGGATACAAACTGCGTGCGGTTAGCAAGAAAGATTCGGATAAACTGTAGTACTTGTGGATCAATTTTCAAATGGCTGAGTTTATGTAATAGTAGCTGGTGATTTACTTTATCGAATGCTTTTGCGAAATCTAGAAATATGCAGTCAGTCACAAAACCTGAATCAAGATATACATGCAGATCGTTAGTAAACGTGACTAGTGTTTCACACGAAAATAATTTACGGAAACCGTGCTGCGAGTAATGGAAGAACTTATTTGATTCTAAATGCTTAACAAGGTTGGAAAAAATTATGTGCTCAAGAATTTTGCAAGGAACTGAAGTAAGTGAGATGGGTCGGTAATTAGAGGGGTTATGTGGTCGCCTGATTTGTGAAGGGGTACCAACCGGCCTGTTTTCCAATCTTTAGGCAAGTAACCATCATCGAAACATTTAGTGTAAAGGCAATATAATATAATCGACATATACTCTTTAGTATTCTTCAGAAATTTTGAATTAATACCGTCAGGGCCACATGAAGAAGACAGTTTCAGGTTGCTGATGACGCCAGAAATTCCAGTTGGATCGAAAACTATAGGGTCCATTGGGAAAAAATTTACACAATGAAGATCAGGAAAATTATCTACAACCGGGTTACAAAAAGACCTGGCGAAGCTATTATTTAACAGCGATGCGCAGAGATGGCTAGAAACTGGTACATCGCGATTATCAACCAGGATTATTATGGTGTCGTTTTTAGGCTTCATTATGCTCCAGAACCGCTTAGGATTTGTCTTTAACAGTAACGGTAGAGTTGACTGAAAAAAGGTACGTTTTGCAGTTTGAAGGGCCTTGGTGTAAGATGCGGCTGCTAATTTGTAGGCTGACCAGTGTTGCGGCCCAGTAGATTTCTTGGCAGTACGATAGAGCCTGGCTTTCTTGTTAGACAATCGTTTCAAATAACGGGTAAACCAGGGAGCATCAGTATTACTATAAACGCGCCGCAACGGTATATGTTTGTTGATTAATTGATAGACCTGTTGTTTGAAGGAATTCCATATGTAATCAACGCTTAGTTCTCTATAATGTGGCAGTAAGCTATCAAGAAAAATACAAAGCCCCGTCCGTATTAATAGCTTCGAAGTTGGCTCTATTGTAGTCCCTGATGCTTTTTATGCGCTTCTGTTTTCTTGTGGCAGGAAGGGAAAGAGCGAACTGCAATACATCATGGTCGCTCAAGCCGGGGATGTGTGTTATCGACGAAATAATATCTGGGGCAGACGACAGGACGAGATCTACTTAGCTGAATCCCAATTTTTTGTCTTAAGTGCACACACATGTTAATGGAAACTCAAAATGTCATGCAGAGTTAAATATAGAACACTAGCATGTTTCATTAGACATACCTGCCTTACAATCGCAAGTGACCAGCAATATAAATTCAGCTGCAGTTTCTTTTCCTAGAGAAGGGAGCATGCTGCCACTTAGCGGAATCACAGCACCAATTCCAGTATGTTTACGATAGCGGCACCCCAAATCCGTGCACCAAATCCCCAAATCCGTTGACGTGCGCCCACATGTTCCCGCTCGTTTACAGCGTGCACTCACAAGAGGTTGCCAAGCAGCCAATGAAGACCAGATGTCTTAGCTGATCAAGATATTAACTCTTCTTCTGATAGAACACAAACTTCCTCAACAGCATTTGAACACAGCTTCCAGACTTATATGGACCCACACAAGAACAACATAACAGCCACCTCACATTGAGCATACCGATAAGGCCACCAGAAACTGAAAGGCAGAGAGGGGTCTCTTGAAAGAATACCAGAAAGAGATGGTCTATGAACATCATGTACCAGTACCTACTGCAAGGCCTACAGATGGTCTATTCAAGATCTCCAAGGAAAAGATCATTAAAGAGTAGGCTTGAAGACCAAAACCAGAGGGCAAGCGTGACGTCAAAATCATGGAAAAACAGGGACTGCAATGCAGGAACTGTTAAAGTAGACCTGAATACTCACCTCTGCTCCCATCGTGGCAATGAACACTACTCACTGGAACTACCGATACAAGTCTACGGAGGGTACTCAACGCTGCAATAATTGAACATTTGACTCTGAACGCCCTCTTGCATATGCAGGAACCTACTTATTGATTCTGAATCAGATATACCTTCCTGCTCAGTTGTGTTAGATTGGGAAGGCCTTGCTTCATTATCGATAGAGGTCTGATGTTCGGCAGGCTTATTGATTGAAGCACTAGGAGGTTGGATACGCTTTGTTATTCAATCATATATGTCCGACATCTGTGAATCCATAATATTATTGAGTGAGTCGGACAGATTGAGTAAAAATTTTTCCAATACTTTTTCTACGGCCTTTTCTACCATAGCTGAAATGAACTGAGAAAGTGATGCATCCATAGCAAGAGGTGCACGAGCTGCTATGCCGGCATGACCCCGATTCCTCCTTTGAATTTCTGCCACTGCTTTTCTACGAGAGCATCATCTCCTTTTAATTATTTTAATCACCTGAAGTTCCTTTGATCTTGCAGGGCAGTTAGTCTGCAGCGTGATTTGCCTTGCACAAACAGCATTCTTATTGTCTGATTGGCACTCAGGAGTACTATGACCGGCCCCGTATGTGGCCCCACATATGCCGCATCGAAGGTCCGATCGACAGCCTTTAGTACTGTGTCCAAAGCACCAGCATTTAGCACATTGCAACGGACGGGAGCTAAAGCTACGACCCTATAGATAAGCGGCCATGCCTTGATCTCCGAAGGGCAATCCGTTCCAGCGAATTTGGCAATTACAGTTTCAGTGGGAACTTTTTGTTTGTTTTCCTGTTTGGTACAGCGGTAAACAGAAATAACACCTGCTGGGGAAAAAATGTACAAGACTTCTGCAGGGCTTAGACTTGCGTCTACCCCGTGAACCAAACCTTTGCAGCAAGCTAGATGAGGTGGGATAAAAGAGCTCACCGGATGCGATGCAAAAGTAGTGCTTTTCAGAAGGTCTTGGATACAAGCCTTGTCTGGTGAGCAGCAGTCTCCCCCCACGTCCAAACTGACGAACCTCTGTTATCAGTAGGGAGTGATCGCAAGAAGTTCCGTTTGGATTGTCTTGGGATTGTTCATATGGATGAACCCACCAGTGGTCGGCACGAATGCGACAGGAACGCTACGGGTTCCATTGCGGAGAAACAACCCCAAGGGCAGATCTTGAGGGGGAACACAGGCTGACCGGAGGGTAGGCCTCTGGTCCGGAGAAGAATCAGACATGAAATAAGATGAAGTTCTACTTAGCAGTGCACTCGTAACAGTCGTGGAAAAAGAGGTAGATCTAATAAAATAAAGGTAACCGCCGGCTACTTGACTGCAACCATGAAGACTGAACAAGGAACGTTGAGACCTGCGAAGAAGTAGTACGCTCCGTTCCTTGTTCACCTCGTCTAAGGTAACTACAGGAGAAGTTTGTCGTCGTCGCTGCAAAGGTAGGCTGTACGTACGTACTGTACCGCATGTAAGTGACTAGGCGGCTTTTTTTTAGCTATTCTCAAAGTTAGCGATTGAGCACGTATCAATCCACGATGTGGCGCCCAGCTCATGGCATTTTCTTGCCGCTGTTCACTGAACAAAATGAACCAAGCCGCAACTACAAAAAAAAAAAAAAAACTTTGCAGTCAAATTTAGCGGCAATCTGGCAACACTGACCCTAGTGTCTGGCAACCATTTATGCAACGCCAAAAGGAACCTTGCCTTGGCAACCACTTATGCAACGCCAAAAGGAACCTTGCCGTTCACTGGATCGGCAGCCAAGTTACCGACACGTTCGTGTTTTTCGCGCCTGAGGTCGATTGATTTGATATGTGGGGTTTAACGTCCCAAAACCACTATATGATTATGAGAGACGCCGTAGTGGAGGGCTCCGGAAATTTAGACCACCTGGGGTTCTTTAACGTGCACCCAAATCTGAGCACACGGGCCTACAACATTTCCGCCTCCATCGGAAATGCAGCCGTTCGCGCCTGAGGTCGTCCTCGCTGTACTTGATCGCGTAAGCTAAACACTGGTTTATCTTACCGTCGCTGAGCATGCCCACCACACGCAGGCGTTCAATGCAGAGCTGCTGTAGCCGTCATGATGATTAACGCCGACGGAAAAGTTTGGTGCGCGCACCGCACGTGCATAAGACTTCGGTGAGGCATGCTCACATGTGAGCACACAGTGAGCACCGCAAACTCGGTAGTACGACGCAGATTCGTCCACATCTTCGGGACAAATTCCTCTCAGCCATTGAGCTCTGCGCCTTGACGACAGCTCCGTTGTCTTCGCACACTCTCGTAGTTTGATTTTTGGCACCCCATAGAAGTCTACCCGGTGAAAATTTTCGTCGTTGAACTTGCTGTTTGTGCTCTTGGTCATCGTTAATTTGTTGTACCTCGACCAGCTACGAACATACTACTGCCCAGTCACAAACACAAGTCTGTACAGCATACCAAAGTAGAGAAAACTTCACACGCTGCAGTATTATAAATGGAACACACAAGAACACGGAAAGAACACGGAACGTCAGCCATTGAGCTCCCACGCTCAGTCAAACCAACGCCTCCTCTAGAAAGATGCCTGCCGCATGAGAAAAAAAAACAGCTGCCACACCCTTTCATTTTGCCACATCCTTCATTTTGGAAATGTTCTCAGTCGCTAGCGTCGTCTGTGGCAGATGGTGCAACAACGCAACACTTTGCATAGCCTCCGAAACAGTAGTGCACAGTTGCAGGTCTCAAACAACTCTCGACTGACGCGCCCATATGGGCCGCAGATGAAAAACGCTTGGCTGGTACCCCCCGTCGCCGTGATAATAGTGTCGGTCGCGAGCGCCACTGCGCGGAGCTTGTTTAAAACTGAAGGCAGGCTAACTTCGTTGGGAGCGCGAACCATTTCTCAGACATCTTTCTAGAGGAGGCGTTGGTCAAACATGGCGGCGTGACCGTTTTAACTTGATTGGCTTGATGATGATAAGTGTTGTGCCATATTCTTTAAATGTGATGAACGTGGAGACCACGCCATCGCCAACAAAGCAATCTACTGCCTAACTATTAACAAAACAAAACAAAAACGACGAACACACAAAAAAGTAGAGAGAAACGAGAGTACAAGCACAGCCTCTTAGATTTCTTTTGTCTGCCAGATAATCGGCGGTCACTTGAGAAGCGACCGTCGTCAGAAGTTCAGAACTGCGGTAGTGGCGCCACTTAAGTAGGGTTGTCTTCAAGTAAGTTTTTACGTTTTTGGAGTTTATATGTAACAAAAATAACGTAAAAAGTTCTTAAAAGACGTAAACATAACTATAAATAAATATATTTAACTCTACGTAAGTGACGCCCCCATAAATATTGGGCATTTAGCGCTCATTCAGTAGGCAACCCCTTCAATACAAGGCATAGCCTCTAAAATTACCAAAGTTGGCAACTTTAAAAATCAAGTACAAAAACTTTTAACCCTACGTAGGTGGCGCCGCAATAAATGACGGCCGTTTTGCTTTTATTTGGCAGGCAAAAAAACATGTAGAAGGCTATCGTACAGGCAACGCCTCCTAGATTTCTTGTGACTGCCGGATTATCGACGGTCACTTGGGAAGCGGCGGTCATCGGAACTACGGTGGTGGCGCTACTCAAATAGGGGTGTCTTCAAATAAGTTTTTACGTTTTTGAAACCTATGTGCAACAAGAATAACATAAAAAGCTCTAAAACGGCGTAAAGGTAATTATAATTGACCTTACGTAATCTAAAACGGCGTAAAGGTAATTATAATTGACCTTACGTAAGTGACGCCGTTATTCAGCAAGCAACTTTTTTTTTATACAAGGCATCCTCTAAAATTAGTAGCAAACGCCAAAATTGCCGGGCAAGGTTCCTTTTGGCGTTGCATAAGGGGTTGCTAGACTGGAAGGATCAGTGCTGCCAAATTGCCGCTAAATTTGACTGCAAAAGTTTTTTTTTTTGTAGTTGTGGCTTTTTTGTGAGAATTTAGTGCCATCCGCGGTGCATTTCGTGAACGAGCGACGCTGGCCGTTTTAATTAACGGAATGAACCGCGCCTGGCAGTAGTCGAGCGTGGCGCTGCTGTGCAATTAAAAGGCTGTTTTAATTAATGGAATGAACCGCACATTACAGAATTTGTTTTATTTACGGAATGAACCGCGCCTAGCAGAAGTCGAGCGCAGCGCTGCTACGCAATTAAGAGGCCAATTTAATTAACGAAATGAACCGCGCCTAGCAGAAGTCGAGGCGCGTTCTCTTGCTGTGTGCGCAGCTGTGCGAATAAGATATTCCCTCCCGCCTTACTTTTTTTTTTTTTTTCTCAGCTGATCGTGTCGGGTTGACCGCGCGCTACGACGGGGGACGCTACCGGATGGCACCAAACTCTTACGAAAAGCCACAACTACAAAAAAAATGCTTAGCCAAATTTAGCAGCAGTCTGGCAACAGCAACCCCTAAAGTCTGGCAACTGACTTATGCAACGCCAAACGAAACCTAGACAATTGCCGATCTCGAAGGCCAAGTACAAAGACTTTTACGTAGGCAGCGCCGTCATAAATGACCGGCATTTCGCGCTTATCCGACAGGCACGGGAAATCGGGGAGGCGTTGGCACAGGAAACGAACGGCCAGCAGGAAACATCATCATGAAACGACTGCATGTTCCATGGCGACCAGCATAGCGACATGGCAAGCTACGGAGCGATGTTGTGGTCTCGGAAGATAGAGTAGTTGTCGGCAGCACGTTTTCTGCTATCCTAAAGCTTCGTACTAGTAAACGGGGCATGCAGTAGTTAGACAATACGTTTCAATTATTTGAGTAACTTGGAATACCCGTCCAGTCTAGACGGGCATCAATCGGCAAACACAACTGCAAGAAGCGGCGTGTGCGCGTCGACTACGCCGGGTTACCAGCTGCACGTGGGAAAGCACGCCGTAGTGTGTGACGTGCCTTCGCCGTCCAACGCCAGTGAAGAATGGGGCGGCCAGCGCGCGGGCGCAAGCGGCGGGCCGCGGCGGCCACTCCGAAGCTCTCCAAGAAAGACAGAACGCATTGGGTCAACTTTGGCGAAGACCACCCGGCCAACGACCGACCGTCGGAAAGCGATCGCGTCGCCGTAGTTGTTCCATTCAAGGCCGCCGCCACAGCAGCCGTGGACGAAGAAAGCTCTCACTCGACGGCGACAGACTCTGGCAGCGAGAGCGACGATGCCGTGTGCAAACTGCTGGGCACCTTCGATAACCGCCGAGCCGCAGCCAGCTGCGATGAATCGACGGACACCGACGAAGCGGGCAGTGACGACTGGCCGCTGGACGATGAAGACGACGACGTCGCCAGTGCCGCCGAAGACGAGGAGCAGGAACAGGTACAGTTAGCCGTTAGGAAAGAATTTTTAGAATTCCCAGATTATGCTTTCCCTCCTGCTTAGCCACCTGCGAATTTCGTAATGGTACTGTGGAATCTCTCACTAAGTGATTGTTTCTAATATTGTATTTTGTTCTTTATTGCTACACAAATAAGTCATTCTTCAATTTGTTATTACCTTCGACCATTAATTCATTTCCAATATTTTATCTCAATTCAGAATTTTTCCCCTGATATAAATAACCAATTACATAACCAATCCTTCATAGTTGGTAGGAGCCAAGTATCATAGAGCAAGCAAGCCGTCATGTTTACATGATGTTGTAATGATGTGAAGAGGCTGAAATAGCACGTAGATTAGAAGAACACGGGGCATCGCGCAACTAGCAGCTGGCACGTTTTATTCATTGACACGGTATTTGTAATGACCAAGTCTATCACTGTCTGATTTTTACGAACTCTTGTGGATTCACCACGTACAACAGAGAATGCAGACATTTGAAATGACTGAGCCTATATTATCAGTATTATGCATATAAAAAGAAATCTGATGTGGATTCAGACCAATAAAATACCAAATTAAGTTATAGTCATGAACTTTTTCCTAACCCATGTGTTGCATATTGTTGATTGATTGATATGTGGGGTTTGACGTCCCAAAACCACCATATGATTATGAGAGACGCCGTAGTGGAGGGCTCCGGAAATTTCGACCACCTGGGGTTCTTTAAAGTGCACCCAACTCTGAGCACACGGGCCTACAACATTTCCGCCTCCAACGAAAATGCAGCCGCCGCCGCCGGGATTCGAACCCGCGACCTACTGGTCAGCAGCCGCGTAACTTAGCCACTAGACCACCGTGGCGGGGCATGTTGCATATTGTTGCAGCACAGGTTGTTATTGCAGTACCCCATCCCACAACCATTGGTATGATGTCAGAAATGGCCAGAACAGAATAGTGCTTGCAGTACACAAGTGTTCTGCGTTTCTTGAATTTTAACTTTGCTAGATGCAGAGTTAACAAAGTGCATCACACGGACACTAAAGGCAATTCGAGGAGCGATTTAGCGCCAGGGACCCCAAGCAGCCTGCGCATGCTCACTCTTGTGTTCCTTTGTACTTCCATTTGCACCCAAGGAAAATACGAAGGTATGACTTTGGGGCCTTGGCATAAACCCTCCAGTAAGACAACATGAAGCGTTCGAATAGTGTTCCAGAAATGCCATCATGCCTGTTTTAGACCGAGGAAATGTTTACCTTGAAACAAGATAATGTGCCTGCTCAATGCTGGAGCACTTCGGAAGGGCCTTGTGATGTAGCATTTGCCTTGCCTTCCCTATACGGCTAAACAGCTGGCGCTGCAGTTAAGGTTAGTGCACACTGGCGACTAGCAGCGGTTGTGCGACCATTTGCGACTGGGGATTAAAAAGCGACTGATGTTCACATCAACAAAGGCTGCACACGAGCGACCTGAAGTCGCAAAACCGGAGAGTCGCGTCCGCATCTCGTTATCAGCGAGAACTTTGGAGACCGGCGCCGATCATCTGATCGCCGTCAGCTGGGTGAGCGAAGCAAACCCAGCGCATTGCATTTATTGTTTTCGTTCGTTCTCGCACATCGAACTCCTTGACACTGCTGGGAACGCCCAGCAACGTCAAGGAGTTTGATTCAAACGAAGAACAAGAGATTGTCATGGCGCTGATGCGCTATGCCATGGTGTCAGCGCTGGCAGCACGGAAGCCTCCAAAGAAAAAAAAAGCCGATGGAGGGTGCCACCTGTCCCTTTGCTTGCGAGAGTTGGCCGGCCGTGCAAGCCGCCTACCTCGCAAGCTGTGCCGAGACGACGAGGAGTATTTAAGAGAGTGGTACGTATTCAGGAACGGTCCTTGGTTTACCTTGACTTGCCTCAGCCTACAATGCAGCACGAATGCAGTGTCTAGTGGTGCCAAGGCATGATACACAAATGCGTTCCAAATCGAAGACTGTGACAAGTCATGTTCAATGCAAAAATGATTCTGAATATGGTGTTTAGCTTCTTGCGAATGCCGCCACGCAAATTCGACACTTTGCTCGAGCTGCTGCACCCTGCCATCTCCAAACTCGTTTGTATCTGGCGGCAGAAGGCCAGCTCAACGAAAAAACAAAGAATGAGGCTGCATATAAAAAAATGCTGGTGCCACTTCTGGGCATTGCTGATTGGTTCCAGAAGCTTTGCGACTGCAGTCGTGTGACTGAAAAATCGGTCAGGAAGCGACTAGCCAAAGCGACCGTTGATGACTAGACGCAAATGGTCGCGCGACCGCTGCTAGTTGCTGGTGTGACCCAACGATTACTCTCACGACAGTGAAATTGCCCCCGAGATACAACATCACTGGTGGAGCTGAGACCGCTGAAAGCCAAGACTTTAGACTACCCACATCGTTTTTGTGAGAACGCGTAAAAGTTTTTTTTTGTTTTTTTTTTTCACAAATCAAATTGGCCTTTTGCTTTAGCACACTGCTTGCCTTCCGTGTCCCTTTAAGTACCTTAGGGAAATGACTTTCATTTCAAACAGTATTCCACAGTGCAGCGGTTCATGCAGCAAATAGCACTGTGTTGATATGCCTTCGACATCATCCGCGGGGAGCGCTTGAGCTGTGGTCGCCATTTTGAAGGTCCGCGCTCTTTCTGCACGCACAAAAAACTTGCTGCAGGTGCTGTGTCCAAGATCCGGTGACTTGAATGACTAGAGATCCCAGACATCTGCAGGCCGACATGAACAGTGCGCATGAATGGACCTTCAAAATGACACTGCGATGTTGTTGCCACCTTGCAGGTCAAGGCTCAGTGCATGCTCCCCATACGTAGAGACATGTGCCGAGTGAAAATAACAGGAAGGGAATGCCCCTACATGCACCTTTTTTTTTAGGGCATTACAATGCAAGTTGTTCTGATTTATTCAGTTGTATGCCTTGTTCACAAGTCGCTGTCCAATTTGTCTAAGGCTCACAACTGCTGAAAACGCTTTTTCAGTACATATGCTCGATGAATGCAACAAGGAGTAGCTAGATAAAAGAGCACCACTGTGGTGCATATGAGTACATATTGAAGAAGTCTGGTAAAAATAGGCGGTTTTAGAAGGACTATTGCTAAGATAGATATTGTTGCAGTTGACTGCTAGAGGATAGCGTATCATGGATGCGCAGTGGCAACAAACGCTAATGCAAAGCTTTAACAATACCTTCGTTTGGGCTAGGCTTGTGCAAATATTCGAACGAATATTATTGTATACGAATTCGCTTTGATTCGAATTTTAATTATTGAAGATTTCCAAATGAACAAATAGGTGTATCCACATGTAACCCCTTGTAAAGGTGGTTTCATTGCAGTGAAGGGGTGCTAAGCCACTAAGCCATAAAATCACCTGTACAAATGTATAACAGTTTGCATGTGACCTTCTGTAAAGCTGGTTTCACTAGAGTGAAGGGGTGGTTAGCCAAAGACACGTGTCCAGGAGAAATTTGCACTGCCACAAAGCCCTACTTCAAGGTTAAATGAACATATTGTTACGTGGACATAACAGTAGGCAGTCCACAGCCACAACACAGCTCACAGACAACGTCCACTTCTTCGCTCTGAAGCAACCTTTTTGGGTATGTCGCACTATGTCCTGTTACAGTCAGCTGAACCCACATCACTTTTGAAGTTTCAAAACTTGTCACACCGGCTTATAAGCTCTAAGTATAGTAATTATACTAACAAACTTGCATTCTATCAAAAGCAAAATCCTGCTACTATTCCAAGTTGTTTGTACTTCGTTTGAACCAAAATGAATGGTGTTTGCATAAGTTTTGTTTCAATTTAAAAAATATTGAGCAGGCGAGTTGGGTCACGCCTAATGTGCCCATTTTTCTTGATTATATGCAATATATACTATTAGAATTTGATTGGGAAAGATTCAACCGAAATTGCTATTGGCTTCACTTTGAAGCTAAAATTCACTATTTGCACCAGCCTAGTTTGGGTGAGTTGGTCTATTAGAGAAGGCTTGAAAAGCACAAATGACAAAACACAAAAGCACCAGTCCTGTTCATCTTCATCATTTGCACTTTTAAAGTTTTCTTTAGCAAAGCTTTGCACACGCTACCGTAAAACTCCGTAGTATGTCCGAGTAGAGAATTTCATGGTAGCACCACATCAGTGTAGTGATCGCTATGTGGGCTATCGCTTTCTTCACTTGAGGCATGGCAAGTGACATGGCATTGTAGAATACGACCATAGATTACCGCTTGCTATGTTTTGCAGTTTATCGCATGACAAGAAATGCCCTGCACAATGATGTGTGTTTGCTGTGCCTTCTTGACAACTGCAGGAACTTCCAGCACAGAACGATCCTTTCTTCGTGCACTTTGAGTGGAACATTGAAGGGGAAAAGTTTCCTCTTGAAAATGCAGAACGAACTCGCCAAGAACTGCACTGGCCAGCACTGGGAAGACTTAGAGTCACAAAAATCAAGGTTGGTTAACTTTGATAATTGTTAAATCACTTGGCATTAGTTGAGTACTTGGCTATGTGCCTGCAGATAACATGAACAAGATCCCTTACTTTTGGGATTCACAAAATAAATGCTAACTTGAATTCTATATAAGCACACTGTTTCGAATAGAGGCCTATTGCCGGCATAGGGCTGGCCATTAGCAGGAGTCTCCTAATAACCTTGAGCACACTCACATTGAAAGCCTGTAAATTACATGCAGCATGTTTTTAAATTCTTTCCTGCTGTTGCCTTGTATATTATCAGATGTGGTTACCTAAACATAGGGGTTGTAGTAAACGAAAAAGCAACACTTCATAATTGGACAAGCATTGCACATTTCCTTGAGACTTGCCACGTGTTGACTTTTTGCCATTGTTGCAAAGTAGGAATGAAATTCGCCTAGGGTAAAGTACCATTTTATCAGAATGAAAGATGCTGACTTGGGCAGTGGAAAATGAAAACATTGCACTCGTTATGGATGTTTTTAAAAAATTATTTCAGTGGTATATTTCTAAACGAAACTTAACTAATCCCTTAGCGTTTTGAATGCCTGTGCAAGCATATCTCATGCTATGGATCTCGGCAGTGCACCTAGCAAAGCTACTTGGTCGATTATCTGTTTCACATCATGCTGCGTGCTGCACAAACCAATTGGTTTCGACTCCCAAAACCATGATGTGATTATGAGGGATGCCTTACCAGAAGGCCCCAAAAATTTCGACCACCTTTCTTTAACGTGCACCTAAATCCAAGTGCAGCAGACCTCAAAGATTTCGTCCCCAATAACATGCAGCTGTTGAAACCGTAAGGCAACCCCCATGACCTTTGGGTCAGCTGTTGACCACCATAACCGCTAGACCACCACAGCAGGTGCTCAAAAGCAAGTTGGTGTACTCTTACAGCAGGATTGAAATCATCTCGCAGAGCTCTTGAATGTGGCTTCCACATTGTGACTGTATCGTTGTTTTGCCTTCTGTTTAGGAAAACACCAGAGAGGTACCTCTCGTACGAGCCTCGAGCAAGGATAGCCTGTGGCTCAAAAGTTCCCTGGCTGTGCCCGAAACGCCGACACCACTCCAGATGGAGCTGCTGTCTGTGCTGAGCTCTTATAGGGATCTACTTTTCACGGAGCGCACACTGACAAATGGCGAGGAAGTGCGTGCTGCCTACTGTCTGCACGCTCTCAACCACGTGCTCAAGGTGGGTGCTACGTAGGGATCACACAACTCGCAAACATGGGCCCTAGGAGATTGCAGTGGTACATTTGACAGTTGGCTTTCAAGGTAAGGACAGTATGGGAAAAAAGAAATGTTAACAAGGTCGTCCCTTGTGCATTCATCTAAGATGACCCAAAGGCAAAAGCCATTTCTTTCCTTCTCAAGTAATATAGTCGATGCCATTTATAATAGAAACTAATGTAAGAAACAAATGTGTGTAAGAGAGACCAGTGTGTCTACATAAAAATAGAGGTTAATAAAATGCAAATGTCCCGCCCTGCTCATAAGACACCTCGTATAAAAGACTAGTTTTGCTCCCCAGTGCGTGTCTCTTATGAAGAGGCTCAACTGTATAAAGAAGCAGGGAACACTAGCCGTGGCTTCACGAGCCACTGCCAAGCACTGTCTTCATTTTCTTGTGTTGAGGTTGCGCCCTCTCCGGTTCTGTTCACTGCCCGAAGGAGAGTGCTACGACAGCACCGTGTGACGCTACGTCACATTATGTCACACCATCATTTGTAACACCATAATTAGGTAGGTCACAAATTTTTGCCATCTGTGACATATGATGAAGTGATATTTGCCACCCGAAGAGGACGACGTGTTACATGATGTCACGGCATAATTTGCAACACTATAATTAGGTACGCCACAAATTTTTGCCATTGTGACAGCATATGGTGACGAGATATTCACCGCCTGAAGCAGGGCACTACAACAGTACCGTGCGAACAGTACCGTGTGAAATCATGCCATGATTTGCAACACCATAATTACGTCGGAAATTTTCCCCATCTGCGACATTCATACGGTGATGTGATATTCGCCGCCCAAAGAAGGGCGCTACAACAGCCCCGGGTGTGACGTTATTTCACATGACGTCACGCTATAATTTGTGGCACCATAATTATGTCGCAAATTTTTGCATCATATGGCAACTTTATCATGTGATGATTTTCTGCATCACTCATGCCCTGGGGCTAAAATCACTAAGGAAAGGTGGAACTGAGCTCTACCCAGTTCAGAACTTAAAGCACAGCTCTAGGCTGTCCATCAGGCTCGCGACGCAGCGAAGGGGTAAGGTCTCTCTGTCTCAACGTGGGAGCGGCCCCCTGCTCGTTAAACACACACACCAAAGGACCATAATAAAATTATTCATTTCCTGAATGAATAATAAAATTATTCATTCACTGTCCGACACTGCAGGACAGTCGCCGCCAGTAGTTGAATAGCCCGTTCGATGAAGCTTGATAAAGTGAGACAACAGGTATGAGACAGTACAAGCCGTATATAAGATCAGACATGTACGTTACATCGCTGCTGTGGCAGCATAAAAGCTGCAGCAGTGATGAACGTTTTAACCTAAAACTGCATTAAAACCCTTCAGGCAGAGGACTATATGGGGTGCTTCAGCTAACTGGCAGTAGTATTACAAAAACAGATGTCCTACGTGCGTCGATGGTACCAGTATTGTTTCGAGTCATGCGCAGCATGTCAGGATATACTTTCCAGTCCATAAAACTGGGTAATTAACATAGATTGCTAATTAACTGAAAAGGCCTGAATTAAAAAATTGGCACTTCATCAATGGAAAGATAACTGCCAATCTGATAAGCTGGGTAATTGACAAATATTTCTTAATTAGCCCTTAAAATATTCAGTAAAAAAGTTACTGTTCAGTATGTGCACCAGTGCTAGAATCATCAATTTTCAATTTAACGATTACAGTTCACCGACTTGACTGAAACATCTTTGCGTAGCTTCACTGACAGTTTTTTTTTTTTTTTTACTGCTATGAACTGCTGGTGCATCGTGCCAACACTGTTCTGTTTTAAAAAAGCACTGCAACACTTCTTCTAGTAAGCATTGACTGGCTTCATCTCTTTAATACCTTGCCCTCCTCTGCCTGCCACAGAGCCGGTCCCGCGTGCTGCACCACAACGCACGCTTGCGTCGAGGTGCCAGCTCGGAGATGCGAGACCAGGGACTGACACGACCACAGGTGCTCTTCCTGCTGCCCTTCCGGGAGTCGGCTCTGCGCACGGTTAAGCTTCTTGCCCAACTGCTGCCTGCAAAAGAAGTGGGCCACATGTCCCGGTCAGTGGCTTGACTCGTACAAGGTCAAATACACTCTACAATAAGTTTTCAATACAGTAAAAGCTCATCAATACAAATTTGAAGAGGCTATACAATTGTTCGAATTAAGTGGAGTTCAAATTACCAAGAGGGCATCCGAATGAACGGAAGTCGCGCCACACTGCGCGGGCAGCACCCAAAAATGCCACCTCTGGACTCGCTGTCGCTTGTGGCAGAACATTTCGTTAATTAGATTCATGAAGCCACAACAGCAAGCAGAATTAATTGATCTGCCAGCGATACGCCAGAAACAAGCATCGACATGCACTCATGTGAGCAGAGAGGCTTATTGTTGAAATAAATATATGACCATAGTTATGACTACAATACGTTTATTTACACAACAGTGTTAACGCAATCGAAATGAAAAGTAATCAATAATTTTCACTTGCTTGGGTTTCTGCTGTCGCCACTCCAGCGTGAGCATTCACAGCTTCCCTAAAAGCTCCAGTGCAGCGTGTAAATTCTCATCTGCTGAGAACTGCTGCTGTTTCGTTGTTTTGAATCACTAGTAAATTTAGTTTGGTTCACTTTCTAACACTTTGTGATTCTTCTGGACTGACTTCTGCTGGGAGCAGTGAAAACCAAGCACTTCCAGTTCAAATTAACTCTTGTGGATACAGATGCATTCTAATTCTAAATCAATAAGGAATTTCGAAGAGCAGTATCCCCTTCAAAGCAATGTGGATATTGTGTGGTGCCCTTTCAGACCTTGATTCCCGCGTGGATACATGCCTTAACGCTCTCATTTGACTCGTCTTCTAAGGTTCCTGAAAGAGTTTGGCTGTGAGGAGGAGAAGAAGCGTTGGCTGGAGCGTCCCGAGGACTACGAACAGACCTTTTCAGGCAACACTGACGATGCATTTCGACTGGGCCTCAGCGTGTCAGGCAAGAGTCTGCGCTTGTACCGCGACTTCTACGCATCGGACATCCTGGTGGCCTCTCCTTTGGGCTTGAGGACCGTGGTTGGTGCCGAGGGCGAGAAGGACCGTGACTTCGACTTCCTCTCTTCCATCGAGCTGGTAGTGGTGGACCAGGCCGACGTGCTACTCATGCAGGTCAGTGACATCTCTAATCACAGGAGACTTCTGGTGGCTATTAAGAGAAAAAAATTATTTCAGCTGTACAGTATTAGCAATACCATACAGCTGCATTGTGAAAAAGTGAAGAAGCTACCCTTTCTCTAGAAGAGATTTAGTAACCAGTGAAGGATGCAAAGGATTACAAAGTTAAGCTGAGGACAACGCCACAAGCAGTGGGAAGGAAAATGATAGGTGTAACCCTGAGAAACAAGAAGAGAGCAGAGTATATCAGTGAACAAATTGGTGTTAAAAACATCATAGTTGAAATCAAGAAAAAGACATGGTCGTGAACAGGGCACGTAGCGCGAAGGCTAGGCAACCGCTGGTCAGTAAGGATCACAGACTGGATTCCAAGAGAAGGCAAGTGGGTGATGGGGAGACTAAAAGTTAGGTGAGCCGATGAGATTAGGAAGTTTGCGGGTATAAAGTGGCAGCAGCAAGCACAGGACCGAGTTGACGGGCGGAACATGGGAGAGGCCCTTGTCCTGCAGTTGTTGTTGTCAGGCTGATAATGAGATATGAAGGACGTAAGAACAAAGGGCTTGTGGCATCACTGCTTCAACTTTTCAAACCAGCTTGGTGCCATTTTGTAGACTTGACGATAGTTGACCATTTAGATAGGTGTACGATTGAAGGAGAAAAGGCAAACCTGCATATATCAAACTCACATGTAACATATATTGTTGCACCACTACGTTCAAAAATTCATGCACTCTTGCCCCTCAATTGTCCATGCTGTAAATCTTGACCCCACTTCTCGCCAGCTGGTCAGCCATTTGAGGCACGTGACTGTGTAAGTTGTAGCAAACGTGGGCTAAGGAAACCACTGGCAACTTATTGGCCTACTGCTGCAACAAAGCTGGCAAGTCGTGGCCGCAGTTAATTTCGTTCGCTCAAATCGCTGTTGAGAGCAGCACGATCGTGGCACACAAATGCACTAGTCAAGTTTCTTTTTTTCACAGGCTTTCTCTGTAGCTTGAAAAAAATTTCACATGTGAGACGTTCTTTATCGAAAATTTAAATGTTATGGGGGTTTATGAGGATGCTCTCAGACTTTGCAAATTACATTTCTTGCCTGAACTCAATATTTAGCAATCTAGCTTAATAACCCTAATTATCCAATTAATTACTAAACAAAAGAATAGTCTTGTGCGCAAGGTGGCTGTCAGCAATATGCAACAGATTTCATTCGCCTATCTCCAATAATGCATTTTTTAACCCTTGGCACAAGTTACCTGTTACACTCGGTATATTTCAGCCATGAGTTATTGATATACTAGAGCTGTGAAACAATTTTTTTCTACACATTGCAGCAAAGTGAACATTAAGTGATTCTGTGTCTTCATTTTTTTTTTAAACCTTCACTTTATGCAACACCCACTCTTTTAAAACGATGGTCAGTGAAAACTTGGTGGCAAAGCAGGCATTGAAGTAGTAATGAAGGAATTACTAAGAAGCCAAATAAAAGGGCAAGACAGATAGATCCATTAGTATTTCTCTGAAAGAAAAGCTTCTAGCTGAAAAAAATTCATCCTGGTCATCGAACTCGATACCAAGACCTTTCCGGGCTGTCACTCTTCTGATTGAGCTAACCATTATGCTAGGAATTGGCAGCACAAGGGTAAATCATTCAACCACTCAAAGCACATGGACACACTATACTATACTGAAAATGAGTTATGTGGAATACTGCAAGGTGGCAAAAGGGTTATAAAAGGGGACAGTCAACAGATGCTTTTCTCTTCTGATAAATCCACATGGATTTACTTGTGGTTGCGGCTACAGTAGAGTGGTTATCAACTGTCCTTCCGTCGTCCTTTCACCGCCATGAGGGATTCCATAGAACTCGTTTGCCTCTAAGAAGTAGTTGCTATTTTTAGGGATTGCAGAGCTCTTTGCTAGAAGAGCAGTGGCAGATGTTCACGAGTGATTTCTTCAACTGTGTCAGTTCTCACACATCTCGTGCAGAACTGGGAACATGTAGTGCACCTCTTCGAGCACGTGAACCGGCCAGCTGTGGAACCCCACGGCGCTGATTTCTCTCGCGTGCGCCTTTGGTGGCTGCACGGCTGGGCACGCCGCTTTCGCCAGACAGTGGTGCTGAGCGCTGTCGCCCAGGCACCCATCTCAGCCCTGCTGAGCAGGCACGCCCAGAACTATGGGGGCGTGGTGAGCACTGCCAACGTCGTGGAACCGGGCTCCATTGCAGGTAGGCGGGCGGGAAAGCTGGGAAAACTTTGAAGGGTAGCTTGGGAGTAAAGGATAGACATCCTGCAACACTTGACAGCTTCATGTGAAGCGAGGAATTCACTGTCGGACCCCTTCGTAAGACACTGATGCAGCAGACTATTGGGTATAAGAGACGCAAGTCGCAAGTGTGCTTACATTAAAACATGGATTGATAAGAAATTGCATGCGCGGTACCCTGCTTATAAAAGACCCCTCATATAAAACACAACACTCGCTGCCTGGTGCATGTCTCTTATGAAGGGGTTCAACTGTAGCGTAGCTTGCATGTACTGAAGGTATGAATATCAGACTGCAGACTTTTCATATTAGTCTTTTTAGGGAAATGCGTCAAATTCGCATGGCGTCATTCCAAGGCATTCGCAGGAAGAAAATAAATCAATGTGTTGATTTGTATGAGTTTCAGTAATTAATAAGTAGCATGCTATTAAATATATAATTATCTTGCTATCAACAAGCTTCAATCCTTCCATGTCAAAAACTGAATATTAGGCCCAAAATGCACGTACAATTTGTTTTCTGGTTGCACCTATTTCCAGCAATAAAATAAAATACTCTTTAAAAGGACACTAAAGAGGAATAATAACTGTTTAGAGTTTTACTATCATAAGTTCATTATTAGTGGAAAAAATCAAGGCTGAAGTTCCATTTTCAAATTTCACGCCGAGATCTCTGCGCGCGACTTCAGAAATTAAAAAAAATTCTTGGTATTTTCATGGCGTTGGCTGGATGAAATTTTCTGAAACTCTGCATGGTACATATAAGGCACCCATAGATGACAATGTAGATCGTTTTTATCGATTGGAAGCTACAAAGGACTTGGCAGACACCTTCAAAAATAATATATAAATATTATATATTTATATATATTTTGAGTCGCAGTGTTTGGTGTTGAAATCTCAAGGTGCCATAGCCACCCACATTCTTTTTACGCTTTTAAAAACGATAGTCTTTCTTGGGGACCTTCGACGGAAAAATTTTGGTCTGTCTGTACATTAGTCTGTCCGCCCTAACCATACGTTAAACCGCACCAAACGGCCAGTTCCATCCTCGGTTTAGCGTTCATAGTTATGCGATTGTCAATTAAAAAGCAATTATTGCGTATATCTGAGGCGCCACAACAACGCTTCAATGTTTTCTATGTCCGCCTTTATACTAGAAGAGGCACACACAAGTAACTAAGGAATGTAGCATTTAATCGCGCTGCGCTGACAGTGCAACACAATGCTCATAAGGGTGTTTCCAACACGTTGCTATGACGTCACGGTGGTGGCACCTGCCTGATGCTTTGCGTTCTACACCTTATCACCTCCGAGACTGGTGCGCATCTTTCGACAACATTTTCGACAACAAATAAACGTTTTGTTCACTCTCTCCAGACGCAAGACGCAAGTGAGGTCAGCGGAAGGTCTTTCAACAACATTTACAGTGTAACATGTAGACTTGGGCCAATTTTTTCTTGTAAGCGTCGTGTAGCGGTAAAAGTGGCATTTTCGGGATTGTGAAAGTGTACTTTAATAACATGCGACAAATAGTTTTGCTCTTTAGTGTTCCTTTAACATTGGTCCTGAAATGCGGCACGTTGAAAAATCATCCAGTGTGGTAGTGTCTCTGGCAAAGTGATCCTCTGCGGCTATACGCAGCACAATGAAGGTAAATGGGTCTTAGTTGTCCACTCATGAAGCCTTCACAAATGTGCACACTGCGTTTCAAGCCATTTGACGAAACCCATGGTACGTGATGTGCCTCCAATGTTTATGTGTACAATTGTTACGCACGACCCCTGATGAGGCTAAGGAGTCTTGTAACGTACAGCTATAAGGCTATACACTCTGACCTCGTTATAACAAAGTCGCTTCTTACAAAAAAAATAAATTTGTTATATGAGAAAATTTGTTATAAGAGTTATTCCTATCACTGCATTATATAAAGACTATTTTTTCATTTACTTCGTTATAATCAATATTTCATTATATTTGTATTGGTTATATTGAGGTTTGAGTGTAATTAAGTACACTGGGTCTGGAGCAACTCCAGCTAGATGCTAGGCGCAGCAAAGAATGTGCTACAGCAAAACCCACAGGAAAGCTGTACTGTGCATAATATGCATTACAACTGCACAATGCAGTACTATCCTGCAAGAAGAATTGTACTGTACAGTGCCAACACTTTTAATGCACTCGTGGAAACCACTGTACAAAGCTGCCTTATGCATTTTTTTTTCTTCAATATATATAAAGAGATTCAACATAAACATAATCATCAGTTCAGGTAGCACTAGAATGAAGCACGGTTGATTCGGACTTACAGAAAATACAATGTTTTGGCAGTCGATTGGTCATAGAACTATACCCTGCATACTTTTCTTTCGAATGTAAATTGTAATTTGGCTGTCATGAAGGTTTTCATTAATTGCTACAAACATTTTTTCTTTAACAGAGGTGACCGTTTCCCTGGCACAAGTGTTCCAGCGTTTTGAGACTGCCTCAGCCGCCGACGTGCCCGAAGCGCGTTTCCGGTTCTTCACAGAGAAGGTGCTGCCACCTCTGCTGCGAGAGGGCTCCCAAGGTTGCATGGTGTACATACGCTCGTACTTCGACTTTGTCCGGCTGCGTAATCACCTACGCTTGCTCGATGCTAGCTTCTGCCAGATTTGCGAGTACACGTCCGATGCCAAGGTGTCTCGAGCGCGAGGAGTCTTCTTCACTGGCCGACGACGACTGATGCTGTATACAGAGCGGTTCCACTTCTACAGGCGTTATCGAATCAAGGGCGTGCAGCGTCTAGTCTTCTACGAGCTTCCGACGCTGCCTCAGTTCTACCCGGAGCTCTGTCGCATGGTGGCCACTGGAAACAGCGGATGCACTAGCCTCTTCTGCCGCCAGGACGCGCTGCCCCTAGCGGCCATCGTAGGAAGCTTGCGTGCCGCACGCATGCTGCACGCCGAACGTGATGTGCACGTGCTCGTGTCGGAAGGTCAGTGAGTTATTGGTCAGTGATGCAGTCGCCGAGGGGTCTCATCTGACGAGTCGGAGGTATCAATGCCGGAGTCTGGTAGCTCGGAACCAACGAGCTCGGCAAGCATGCCGCTCAGCTGGTCCAGGAAGTTTGACACCCCATCGTAGCCTGGAAGAGAAGCAAAGCTCAATGACCTGAGGTCCTTTGTATGAAAATGGTATATTATACTTCCACGATTCCAGCATTTTTCTTCGCTGTACCTATCCCTCAAATTTGTGTGTGCCTTATATCCGAGCTCAAAAGTGACGTTGGCAACAATGAGAAACTTCTCAGTGTTGCAATGGGGGGGCACACTAGAATTTTGCGAACACAGTGCACTTGCTTACCGGGAAAGTTGTTGACGTCGATAATGCAGAGGCGACCCGTGTCCTTCTCGGCAATGATGTCGATACCAAAGAGTCGCTGGCCAAGCTGCTGCCGCATCGTGTCCACCATGAACCGAAGTTTTCGTGGGCATGGCATGGGCATCCCCTGGACATCGCAAGACAATTGTAGTCGCTCCACAGAACACACTATTTAGGCTACCTTCGGAAGGTCGCCTGCATAGACTTGCTGTAAGCTAAATTGTGGGAAATGGCCCGATTATGCCACCTGCAGTTCTTCATATGATGACAAACCTGTGTCTTTGACCACATATCACATTAAACTGCATAATGCCATGGACATCAGCTAATGTGCTACCACAGAACCACAAACACCCGAAACTTTGTGCCATCTGCGATACAAAAACTGCTGGTGATGCTCAGTGAGTGAGAAAGACTTTATTTGGTGGTCCGGCGGATGATAATCCTAGCCTCGCGAGGGGAGGGTCATCGTGATGCGGCCTTACATCACCTCGGCATGACGTCCTCTACTCAGCGAGCCGTCCTTGCGACTCCCGCCTTCTGGCACCCGCGCCTGCCCCTGTGCTGGGGTGGTAGCGAGCACTTGGCGCTTTCGCTCGGGTGCTGCTTTTCTACGGCAGCCGAGATCCACTGCACTGCCCGTGTTACTTTCTGGTCGCTTTCTGCGGCGGCCGTAAGCCACGGCGGGATCGTCGTCACTGTTCTTGCCTCACTCAGATTCCGTTCACAATACCACAAGATGTGGGCCGCCGTAGCTCTTTGAGTTCCACACATGCGACACAAGTCACTTGCGTATACGTTGGAACAAACCTGCTTCATGAGCACCGGCATGGGTAGCGACACCGCCTGCAGTTGCTGGAACGCTACCGCCTCACTTTGAGTCAGGTCCAGGTGAGGTGAGGGCATAGTCCTGCACCTTAGTCTGTACCATTCCAATACTTCACTGAATTCTGTCTTTGGCTTCGAAATAGATAGAACAAGACTGGTGCTTTTGTGTTCTGCCATTTGTGCTTTTCAAGCTTTCTCTATAAGACCAACTCACCTAAACTAGGCTGTTGCAAATAGTGAATTTTAGCTTCAAAGTGAAGCCAATAGCAATTTCGGTCGAGTCTTCTCGATATGAATTCTAGTAGTATGCAGCGTATATAATCAAGAAAAATGGGTACATTTGGCGTGACCTAACTTGCTCAATATTTTTTTTTAATTCAAACAAAACTTGTGCAAACGCCATTCTTTTTGGTTCAAAGAGTTTTATGTAGCCTAAATTATGCTTCCTGGTGGACAACAGGCAATGCTCTCCCAATGCTTGGCGTCTTCTAGACCCATTTTACAACCAAACATTGCAACTCAAGCTACCCCAATTTACGCCCAATTTTCAAACTGGCGCAACTTGCGACACTACCACAGTCGATCACATCTTCAGAATGATTATTAGGCTCAGTGAGTGCATGGCTGATAATACTGCCTGCTGATGCTGAAGTACCGCAGGAAAGCAGATGCTAGTCTCTGTCTCAACGTATGCTGCCTTGATATATCTTCGGCTTTGCTGTACCATATCCGTGCTTCTTAACATCATGAAGCTGTACCGATAGCACTCTAAATATGGTAAGAGTAGTAGGCTGCATTGAGATGGCCTTGGAGTTGTTAATTACCACTACAGGGAGGATGACGAGCTATGCAGTAGAACAAGCTTGTGTCCTAGAGACACAGTTAATGCACAGCAAGTTTCAAGAGTGTTATTATCACAAAGATAAAAGTTTATCCAATTATCACAAAGAGATAATAGAACAACACTAATGCAAAACAGCCGAGAAAAAGTGAGTGTAAGGGCAAATGCTCACAAAGTGCACACAAAGCATACGGATATTGTACGGCACTTGTTCAAGGCTAACAGTGAATAGCTAGCTGGCATGCGAAATTTCACAATCCATTTTAGCACTCTGTTCATAGCTACTACCTCTGTTTCATACATAAGGTACAATGCTGTGGAAACTATGCCAGAAATTTGGTCAATAGAATGTGTAAGCACACGAGTCTCGTGCTAGGATTTCGTTGTCGTAAATGTGGCCTCGGCGATGAGCTTCAGCTGTGCGCTGACGGAACCGATCCCAGAGACCAATGTACGAAAAAAACGACACGCTCGGCGATACTGAGCAACCTATTGACTAACGTATATATAATAGGGTTTGTTTATTTCTTAGGCACAAAGGACCTACACTTATTACTCATTCTAAAGACGGAAAAGAAAAAAACATTACGGGTAGTAAAATCGTTGTACTATTTCTTGATACGAGCTTACTAAGAAGTCTCGCTAGCTTCTATAGCGTTGCACCTGATGTATGAAACGAAGTACAAGTGCTTGTATTGGATGTCATAACCTTCCACTGCTCACATGACATGGTAGCCGCTGTCTGGAAGATCACTGCTCCAGTGATCTTCCAGACAGCGGCTACCATGTCAGTACAGTTGGATATAAAAACAGTAAAACATATCATGTAAAACATCCGAAGACTATCTATTCTAGCTTGTACTAGGTAGCACAGAGCAATTTGCCCACTTACAGCTAAGAAAGAAAAAATGAGGGCGTAATGTTGGCAGTTCGTCGCAAGTCTGGTTATCGCACACTGGCATGTTTTCTTTACTCATGTAACATCTCAGTCGAGCCTTTTTTAAGAATTTAAAACCGTTCCTAATATTATTGTTGGGAGCCGCTTACTTTTGGCAGCTATGGTACACCTGCCTACTTCCACCCTCCTATAGCCGTGTCTTATTTTCATAGCAGACGCAAATTTTTTGGTGTCTCGGATATGAGCAGTGAAGATACCTATGTGTGAAATGGGGTATGGAGTTCACATTTGTGCCTGTTTGGACTTATTAGCATGCCAGTGTAAGTAAAGATATCGAATAGTGCAAACAAGCTTTTGAGTTCAGTCTAGTTATTTTCCTTGCAACTTGCAAAACCATAATTAGCAGGGGTCTAAAGCTGTTTCAAAGAACCTTTAGCAACACGAACCGTCAGCTCTTCGGAGCACTTTTAGCAACAAAACCGCTCAGCTGTTTAACCCTTGCAGTCCCAGAGATTCCAATTGGAATCGTAAATTATGTAGGTTCATCAGCAAGAATCTGGTAAAGATAAAGCAATGTTCTTCCTCAAGAGCACATGTTTGGCATCTGCCCTACATGTCGTGTCAACCTGGTACACACAATAAAGCGAGGACATCTCTGAATGAAGAAATTACTGTACAGAAGTGGTCGTGCTGCTTGTGCATTTCGCTGAAGCAGCATCACCGATAGCACATTTTACTTAGTTCTGTGCTAGAATTTTAAATATTGGCTGTTGGACATTATGCAATCATACATAAATAAAATTATAAGTAATAAATGAAGATTGTGGAATCATTATTAAATAATTATTTATTAAATTAATTGGCACATCAACTATTGCTCAGTGAAAAGTAAGAGCAAAGAGTTTTTTTTTTTTTTGACTACCACAATCATGCACATATCAAAATGTAAAAACTACACTCAATCCTCGAGATAACGAAGCTGGATATTACAAATTATCAGTTATAACTAAGTAAATGAGGAAACGCTCTGTAAGATACAGTGATACAAATATGTCTCTATTATGAATTTTCGGATATAGTGAAATATTTTCGTGGCAGGTGCGACTGTTATAATGAGGTACGAGTGTAGTTGCTTAGATTGAAAATAGGCGATTCTGAACTGAAAAGGTTACAAGACCTTAAGTGGCACGACCCATTAGTTGTTCGAAGGACCTTTAGCAACACAACCCCTCAGCTGTTCGAAGAACCCTTAACAACACCCATTAACAGTCTAAAGGAACACTATCAACAAGATCCTTCAGCCATTCAAAGGAATAGCTGTATTCACCACAGCCCATCAGCGGTTCAAAAGACCTTTAGCAATACAACCCATCAGCTGTCCAAGGCACCCTTAGCAACGAAACCTTCTCGGCTGTTCAAAGAACCTTAATACAATTCATTAGCTGCTCAAAGGGCCTTTAGCAGGAAAACCCACCAGCTGTTCAAAGCAACTCACATCCAGAGCAGCTTGGGCATTGAGTGGAGAGCTGGAGTGTGGCTTGGAAACATCCTGGCTGTTGAAGAAGATCGTCGGCGAGTTGTTGGCCACAAAGTCCTTAAGCGATGGCCTCCATGTGAGGTGGTAGCGCTGTCCCAGCACGTACACCTTGAGCAGGCGTCCCTCATGAGGCACAAACTGCTGGGCCACGCAGGGACCCTGCAGGTCGGCCAGGCCGTGCTCGCCAAACACCAGGCACATCTGGTGGGCTTTCTTCATACCGTGCGACACAAGCGGCTTGCACACAATGGGAAACTGGACACCTCGCTCTCGAAGCACCGCTCGATCCGCCTCCACATTCGCTCCACTGAGCTCCACAAAGGGAGGCACAAATATCCATTCTGCAAAGAGAAATATGCGGGCCTAAAATGAAGCACCACAGCAATTGTAATGTGAGCAACGAAAGTACAGTAGGCTCTCGTTATATGGAAAGTGAATGAACCAGGAAGATATGTTCTACTAAACTGTAGCTCTAATTACGAAGAACTCAACAAGAGTGCAGAGTTCAAATGTGAAACCTATTGCCTTAAGTGCAGTTCATCTATTTAAGCAGCAATTTCGTTTAAGAGGTTTCCAATTGCTGAGAGTCTACTGTACTTTATAGATCAAGGCAAATTCACTGCCAGGAAATAGCCATTGTAGAAAAACATTACAATCGTTTCCTCCTTCATAGAAATTGTTCATGACGTAAAAGAGAACTGTGTGCATTGATGAACTTTCTGCTGTGTCGTATGAAGAAAAAAAGATTTTCATAACGTGTATTGCTACTGGACCAGCATGATAGGCTTTAACATGTATGCACTTATGTTGACACCCACTGCCCTTCTCCAGTAACAGTCTCAAGTAACCTCTAAGTACAGGCTACTTAGTATACACCAGGCCACTGAAGAATGATGAGCACGACATTTACTGTGTGGAGGAATGGGGGAAAAAAGCATATTGTATGAACTCTTACCAGTATGAATGAACTATCTGCATGTCCGCACGCTCTATATTCTAGTTCACTCTATACAATCAAAACACCTTGTGTGTAGGCTAGTTAGAACATGTTAGTTCAATAAGCAGCACTGCAAGGTTTACAAAAAGATGCAAGACAAGAACATCACATACAAAGCACATTCAGCAACCGATTTTCATGAGAAAAAAAAAAGAAAGAAATGTGTACAGCCTCGGAGGGTAATGGGCAAGCAGTGCATGAGCAAGCACAGATGCAGAAATCTGTATTTACCTAGGCATGCGACCTTCCTCTCCGTGAACGCAATATATGGGGAGTCCACGCATGCACTAGACTTGTCCGATGGCATACCATTGTTTCCACACTTGACCTTTCAATTTTATCTCTGCTAGAGGCAGGTGGCATGCCTAGGTAAACAATGAGCACCGCACATGTTTGATATAGAATTCCGATATGGTATTTATGTATAGGCAGCATTCTAGTAGAACAAGTGCACAGGTGGGGACCACTTTTTGCATCTATGCTTGTTCATATACTGTTCGCCCACAATGCCTATTCCCTTTTGCAATTTTCATTTTCATCAAATCAGTTGCTAGATACACCCCGTATCCTGTTGATATGCGAAGTATAATGCACTGCGTACGAAGGTGTCAAATTCACATATTCTAATTCCAAGGCAGTCAGTATTACATTTTACATTTCAACAAACAAAATTAAGTGCATGGATGAATTTCTTAATTGATTGCAATCAGTATGTAAATACCATATTTACTCACGTAATGAATGCACTTTTTTCTCGCAAAATCAAAACAAAGTTGGGGGTGCATTTATTATGAGGGACAAATTTTATGAAAACTGTTTCTGGATGAACAAAAAATGCTGTAAAGCAAAAAAAAAAATTTAGGTTGCTGAGCCTTTTGCAATGGACATACGCGTACACTGTTAGGAAACAGCTTCTTTGTTGCACTTCATGTGTTCGGTGGTTGATGGTGCTATCCTTTGCAAGCTGTTCCCACACCGCACACACACCCCATAAAAGCGTTTCATGGCTATCTTTTCTCCCAATCGTTTAACCGCAACAGTGGTATCTGTTGTTATCTCGAGTGGCCCCAGAAGCGTGTGATAAGACGCGCTTTGCCAACTTCAAGGCAACCTCTCACGACGTCCACGACGACGCTGTTGACATTGTAGCGTAGCAAGTAATCAAACATTGCTGCAAGCTACTACCGAAGCGTAAAAGCAAACCGCCGATAACAAGATTAACGACAAAATATGACAGCCGCCTCGCTGCCCACATGAGAAGGTAGCTTATAACATGTGTTCCTTGAAGCACGTGCGAATAACAAGTACGAAGAGCAAGTTGCTACCGGCGCGACAGTTGAAGTGCTACCAGACTGCGAAAATGGTCACTATCTTTTCTGGACGACAAGCGATTCTTTTCTGGTTTTCCAGGAACCCGCAATGCACTGGCAATGAATGGCCCTTCGCGACAGTCATGGCGACAACAAATCTTGTTGTTGTCGCTCGAAAATTGTGTGCATGTGGTTGGGCCCTAAAGTTTCGTATTTGCAGGCAGCGACCATCGGTTGGCACTGGCTTTCGTGGCCTTTACTCGCTGTGCGCTTGTCAGCTGTGATGTCTCTACACTCGCACCTTTCATGAACCTCGCTGTGGCCCATAGATAACTAAAAAAGACTGGAGACGTGCCGCGCACAGATAGAAAGAAAACAATACGGCGCGCAGCAGTGGGCGAAGGCAGGAGAGCAAGCTGACATGCCAAGGGAGGTCAACATAATAATAAAAAAAAAAACGCAAGAGATCCAACGAGCAAAAAGGCGCCATGTGTCGGTTAGCGGGACTGCAGCGGATGAATGTAGGGGGTGCGTTCTTTACGCGAGGGTGGGGGGAATACAAATTTTTATGACTGGAGTTGGGGATGCGTTTATTATGCGAGTGCGTTCATTAAATTTTCACAAGTAGATACGGTAAATATTTAATTGTTCTGAAGTCAGTCATGTTTCACTTTGACATAGACATAAAAATAATGAAATCATTGGAGCTGAATGTGTGCTCAATTACTTTTTTGTCTAACTCATTTTCAGAAAAAAAAAATTTTTAACTTTTAAAACACTTTTATTAGTGGTCCTGAAATGGGACACATCGAATAGATGGATGGAAAGCCTTTTAATGAAAAAGAGCGAGGCATATGTCCACTGTGGGGATAAGCGGGACTTTCGAACTATACTAATATTTCACAGCGCAGTAGGGGTTGCACTTATGCAAATCACAATCACTTGTACTGAGGTGGTGCGTGGTCAGTACTGTGGTTTATCGGACCCCCTAAAGCACTCTGATCAGGCTGCTTTGGCAATGATCGTCGAACACCATACTACTTTTTAACAGAGTGATAGCCTACAGTAATACGCAGCACAGTGAGGTTCGGTCATGACATACTGGTTTATAGGGAAGCTATCCAATTCATTCAGTGGGCAATGTCTTGCTCTCTTTTGACCACCAGTTGACACAACTATCATAAAGAAGTTGCAAACACAAATATAGCCACTGTCACTGGAATGAATATGTGATTGTTTTGTTTTGCATCTTTTACAGCAAATGCTGTTATCAGATCACAACAAGGGTTGCGTGCACTGTAGTTGTCTGCCGGTGACGGCGCTACCGCCGGTGTCCGTAACCACTATCACGCTAAATAAAATAAGAGACACTTGGCGAATAAAAAAAAACCAAAGACAATGGGATTCGAACCCGGGCCCGCCACGTGCCAGCCCAGTTTTCTACCACTGAGCCTCGCCACAGCTTGGCACTCCTTTGCAAACTAGCTTTAGGTAGGCTTGATGTCTGCAAAGGAATCTCATTAATACGAGTAATGAAGTATTTTAGAACAGCAAAGGAACAACCAGGCGTCACACAAAACGAATTGCGTAACGAGTGGGTCGTCAAATGCTCCAACCTATTGCAAAAACTTCAGGTACAATTCTTCATTAAGAAAAGATTGCACGAAATTCCTTGCAAGTGTGTAGCGGGTGCCACGCTTCTGCGAAGAATGGTGAAGTACGGCATAGCGAATGCCTGGCCAATCCTCCACAGTGGGTATGAGACACAGGAGAATGTAAACAAGAATGTCTGCCTACTACACACAAAATACCTTGATTTATGGCGTAGTGGGTACCTTTCAAGTGGGCTTGCAGCAGCTACCCAAAGAGTGTTAAAAGAATGCTCTGAAGGGCCGCTCTTCTAGCTTACACTGTGAGAGTGATGGGCGTTCCACGCAGGCCTGGTGGTTTTCGTTAACTTTACAGTGCTGTCTATTCCACTTAGCACCATGACTGATTATTATTTCAAGATTCATAATCAACATAAAGGAACATGTGTGTGCAGCATTTGCAATTACAGTCGAACTCCGCTACAGCGAACAAAGCTTCAACAAAATTTCCGCTACCACAAAAAAGTCACGATTCCTCGTCAGCAGTCCATAGGAGTCAATGCATAAAAATTGTCGCAACAACAAACACTATTTCTTCGATTGTCTCGCTTCAACGAAATTTTACGATGCGATTCCAGGCTCAGCATCTTATTTCTATGTAGTAAAACCTATATTTAACATTTCAATACATTTTCAGAGCCTGAAAATGCATCAACAAAGTCTAAAACACGCGTTGGCACTACCTGAAGCCGCTGCTATACCGCTGATGTTCAGCAAGCACGGGCGCCCCCATTGCTCGATAGCGATGGCAATGAGACTGCCCTGCTTTTGCCACTGACTTGCATTTGAGCCGCTGATGATCCGAAGCTGAAGCTCAGTTCATGGTTTCCTTCACGCAGCTGCTGGGTGCAACTGCGGAATGATGCCTTTTCCGATTCCGATGCTTATCAATATGTTCGCGCTTGGCCAGTGTGGTAACTAATCAGAGCGGCTGTTCGCCCGCATTATCAACAAAATCAGCTAGCCGCGAGTGATGGATGATAAGAATGGCATAGAATAATGCAAAAGTCACCGCTCCACGATACCCTGCCTCCACCTCGGCTTTGTCGAATACTTTTGATGGCAGACAGCTGCTGGTCTTAATGTGGTAATGCAACTGTTTGGTTCGTTCACAAAGGCGGTTTTAGGCGTTGTTTCAGCGTGCTTTTCACCATGGCCTTGCTAGCATGTGTAAGAATCACATCAGAACGCTGCTAGAAAAGAATAGGAAGCAGTGGACATTTTTTGAATTTCATTAATAAACGTTCCTTTGTTTTGCTAGCTCATAAGAGCTATATTTTTTCTATTTCACTACAACGAAATTTTCGCTTTAACGAATTTTTTTCCGCACCCCGTCAGTTTCGTTGTAGCATGGTTCGACTGTACGACATTGAGATACTGCCCTTGACATGATTGATAGATATGTGGGGTTTAACGTCCCAAAACCACCATACGATTATGAGAGACGCCGTAGTGGAGGGCTCCGGAAATTTCGACCACCTGGGGTTCTTTAACGTGCGCCCAAATCTGAGTACACGGGCCTACAACATTTCCGCCTCCATCGGAAATGCAGCCGCCGCAGCCGGGATTCGAACCCGCGACCTGCGGGTCAGTAGCCGTGTACCTTAGCCACTAGACCACCGCGGCGGGGCATACTGCCCTTGACATCACAAAAGCATGTACACATGAAAGAAACAATCAGTCTACAGCTCTTGATGCTAAATTAAACTTGTGAAAATGAGCCATATGTACAGAATGGCTCGAAAGAACTGCATTGACGTTACGTTGTGCAATGGTAGCATCAATGCTATGGCAGCAATCGTCCTATTAGCACCTGACCCTGCATGCACACATTTCAATTTAACTATTTTGTTGTCGAGGCTTGCTTGTGATCTAAAACCTTAATGCACTCACTCAATGAATCTCGGAATAATGCTGTTCCCCCTCCCCCTTTTTTTGTGACAAGTAGGGTATATATTTCAGATCAAACAAGAAACGGTGCAATCAGGGTATCAGCTTTCAATGTTTCATGAGATATTTGTATTACATATTGTCAGGAGTGGCAATGCTTGAGCAGAAACAAGAGATTAGAGAGTATCTTTCCAGCTGATAGAGTAATGCGTTAGTGACAGCACAGGCTTTTTGGTAAATGTGAAATTAAACTGGAACTGTGAGCCATCACGACACGTCCCGGTACAGTAGGGGGCGCTCCATGTCTGATAACATACCGCACTATTCGTAGCGTGGAAAGAAATCCGATTAGGGTGAGCCGATCCCGATGTTGCAAGCAATGACAACACTCATAAACATTCTGGTACGGTGTCCATGTTGCAAGAGTGGCGGTTTAGTGTTGCTGACACAAAAGCAACGTGTACTTAGCTAGGTCAACGAGGAAGCGAAGGTTGGCCCGCTGCTTTTTCTCAACAAATTACAGGGAAGTGGAGGTACCGATGGGCTTGATCAGTGTTGCCAGATGTATCATGGCTAACAAGCAAATAAGTGTCACAAAAGAAGCCCAAGAGAAATGATGCAACTTTCACAACGAAGCATATATTTAATAAATATAACATTCATAAAAATATATGCAATTATAATTTAAAAAACGCCACTCAAATATCAAAGGGTGATGAAAAAAACATGTTATATATATTTTACAGAGAGATATATGCGCAACTATGAGCGACTATGAACTTATTTACTGTTTAAGATGCATGTTTGTCATGGTACGATTAACGTTACTTGAGAATTCTCCCAATTCAGTGAAGTAGCCAGGTGGTGGGTCACCGAGCACGTGCCCCCCCCCCCCCCCCTGAAATTTTTTTTTACCATAGCATAAGCGAAAAATGGCCATTTTAAGGGGGTGCCCCTCCTGAAATTAGGGTTGTGCCCAAATACGCCTGCCCCAACGTATGTTTCACTTCAACAACTATAGTCATTAACAAATGTTTTATTGATAAACATGATTAAACACAGTGAATGTGGTGAATGTTTCGGGCTACTGGGAAAATTCCAATAAGCCCCAAAAAATGCAACAAGCGACTGAAAATTCTACGAGTGACTCAACCAAAAAAAGGGGGTAGAAGAGCCCAAATCCTCTTTCTGTAAGCAGAACTGGAAACTAAGCTTAAACCCTACCCTACCCCACACAGGAAGCTTGGTGCCCACGTTTACACTTCTGGGTTTATAGAAGCGGCACAAAGAGAGAAGAGGCCTTCGAGTCATAGGAGCCGAACATCGTATGCAATTTTTGGAGCAAAAAAATAACGATAAATCTGACGATTATGGGTTAAACCTTAGTCATGACCTACATTAAAAAAAATGTTAAAGGTCGTTGAGCATCGTGCATGCAGCCTCTCCGCCAAATGCACGGCAAATAAACAGAAGGCATTAGCCCTTGTATTCCCACATCGCTTTGTACTTCAACACATATTTAATTACTTAAGTAAACCAATGACGAATAGTCCAATTAATGCAATGGTTAGGAAAATGCCAGAAAAGTGTCCGACATTGCAAGATCAGCCAAGATTCAATCGTAACAAATGGGTTGTCATCTTGCAGCTTCTATTGTACCTGTAATTTTATTTTGCTTGCTGTGGTCCATAGGTGACATATATATCACACCCAGTGTATGATATATGCCTATGTGATCATTTCTTCATTAAACGGCGAATCACCAGTGATCATGTCACACGAGGTAAAAGTGACGATTGCGCGGAAACACTGTATTGCCGAATTTGAGGCAACCAGTATGCGGGTTTATCAACAAGGAAGCAAAATTTGCCCAGCTGCCTCGCCTCAGCTGTCTTATCTGTGATAGGGACACACAGAACATGTGAACTTGCTTCAAATGTTATCTCCGTTGGTCCTAAAACTGCAGCTACATGTGAGCATATTCCAAGCTCTTGGCACACAACATAGATAGCAAAGTACATTTCCCATGGTACAGCAGTTGTAAAGAACGTGCAAGGTAAAGAACCTCTTATGTAAGATATCCCCTTCAGATGCAAATTATGATGCACTGTCGACTAACGTGTCAAATTCTTGTGCTGTTTTTACAAGGCACATTATATTACATTCTAAGAAAGAAAATTAAGAAACTTGCTCTTATTTTTGTGTGTGTTTGTGAGAGCTTCTGTAGTTAATTGTAGTTAGCATGAAGCATTTCATTATTTTACAGTCAGTCAGGTTTCGTTTTGACATACAAGAATGAAATCAAAGGCTCCAAATGGTTTTTGGTTTCATTCACTTTGCCAAAATAAAAGTAATACTTTTCACGCTGGTAGTGGAACACGGCTTGTCTAACGACCTCTCAATTGTTGTAGAGACTTCAACAAAGCAGTCAGCTACAGTCATACGCAGCACGAGTTTAACTTATGTCATACTTACTATGCAGAAGGTTAAAGAGACACTAAAGAGAAACAATCACTTTGTTTCAGTTGACAAACTGCATTTTGAAAACTATAATACCACATGTTTCACTGTCATAAGTTCATTCTTAGCGGAGAAAATTAAGGTTGAAGTTTCATTTTAAAATTTCCCGCTGTAATCTCTATGCGAGACGTGAGGCATTCCACAATGTATTTTTCGCATTTTCGCAACAATGGCTCGACGAAATTTTCTAAAACCTCATATGCTAAGTCTATGGTACCCACAGATTACAATGTACTTCATTTTTATCAACTGGACGCTACGTAGGACCAAGCAGACACTTTCAAAACTTCTTATGTCACGGTGTTGTGTGCGAGAATTTCAAGGTGGTGGCGGCACCCACATTTACCTTTCGCACGCTTTCTAGCTTACCGAGTGTTGTGTCGCGGTAAGAGTTACGTTTTCGGGATTGCGTAAAATCGTTCTGCTCTTTAGTGTCCCTTTAAATTCATCCAATGAGTTTTGCTTTCCTTTGGCCACACAACTAACATAAAAATGTGGCACACACAAACGGAGCCACCTCTACTGAAGGGGATATGAAAGCAATACCGCTAGTTCGAGCGAAATGTGGGTTGCAGCTACGTCTTTGGCTCTGTTCTGTTAGAGGGGCATCAATATGAAAAACGCTCACCTGTTGAGGCCAGGGGGCTCTGCTCAACCAGGCGATACTGGTGGAAGCGGTTGAGCACCTTGCGTACATTCTCCAGAGGATCAACGACTACCACACTTGGGTGGGCCCGGCAAAAACGCTGCGATCAAAGACCTTTTCGTCAAACCATTGGAAACAAGTTTCAGGGAGCAGACATGGGTGGATCAAAAAAAGGGGGGGGCAAAGAGTTTCCTGAAATTGACTAGAGAGGACTTCGGCCCTGCGATTGTTCAGTGACTATGGAAATGATAGGTAGTACACGGATTTGCCTTGTCTTCATACTTGTGAGCCTCGAATCGTGCCTGTGGCTTTGTTTATTTCTGTGTTTTGGTTTTGTTTTGAATAAAAGAATGGACAGTTATAAATATTGTGTGCTGATTTCAAATAGTAAGCTTAAAAGATTAAAGTAGTGAAGTTGAACTGCTGAATATTTACTGATTGTCATTTCATGACAAACCAACTTCAAGCTAGGCGAAGCCAACCGGAGCTGAAAGTACGAAAATTGGACCAACCCATGCATTACCGATAATTTCCATGCTCACTGAAGCACAGTACGTTGCAGCTCCCACAGACACTAGCGCCAGAGTTCCCTCTAGAGTGTTTATGAAAACTATGGAGGAGGGGGTTCTAAGCAACTTGAAACTACTCTAGCTGTTACAGGACCGTCGAAAACGTTTGAACATGCCAATATAGTATGACTAGTAATATAGTGTGACGTGGCAATATAATTAATTGTGATTGATGGATTGTCACTACACCTCAAGAGGACGGTATATAACAGCTGCATCTTGCCGATAGTTACTTAGAGAGCAGAAGACTGGAGGCTTACAAAGAAGCTTCAGCTTAAATTGAGGACGATGCAGCGAGCGAATGAAAAAGAAAATAATAGGGATAACTTTAAGAGACAGAAGAGAGCATGGTGGGTCAGGGATTAAGGATATCATAGCTGAAATCAAGAAGAAGAAATGAACATGGGTCGGGCACGTAGCACGTCGGCAGGATAACTGCTCGTCATTAAAGGTAACTGATTGGATTCTCAGAGAAGCCAAGTGAATGAGGGGGAGACAGTAAGTTAGGTGAGCAGATGAGATTAGGAGGTTTGCAGGTACTACAAAGTGGCAGCAGCAAGCACAGGAATGAGTTGACTAGCGGAACTTTGTCCTGCAGTGGGCGTAGTCACGCTGATGATGATATAGTATGGTTAAAAAATAACACCCGAATACCTCTACAAAGAAAATTGAACTTGTTCCAATCAGGCTTTCTCCAGCGAATAATGGAATTCATTCCCTATGCATACGGAAGGTCACGTTGCCATATATTAGTAGATCCACATACCTCAAACTCAGCCGTGATGTGCTGGCACTCGGCGTCACCGTGGTCAGCACGCACAAGGATGTCGCAGAACTTGTGCACAATGGCCGCCAGTGGTCCCTGCTCCTCAAGGGACTTGGTCAGGTCCAACTGCCACCAGAAAACATGCACACACCACAGAGTATTTTCAAATGCTGCTGTTCCACAATGTTAGCTGGTCCGCTAACAGGGTTCAAGCTGCTACGCTCTTCTAGAGCCTTAGCTAATCGAACGCCCACTGGGAGGTCGGTACTCCAGTATCTCAACTACAGCGAATCATACATTGCGGATGCAGACCGGAAAACACGCATCCCAGTGGACGTTCGAGAGTCCCTGTCCATCGCGCCTATCCCGCACAACATGCACGCCACATTCCACAAAGGTAGACGAAAGGCTAGAGTAGAAGCTCTATTCAACGAAACTTCAGGCAAGACCCGAATGCCCGCTATACCGACGCGGCCAGGTACCGCAGTAGAAACGCGTATGCTATCAGCGTCGTCGACTCTCAAGGCCGAAAGTTAGCGTCGGCCACAGTCACAGGCATGCAACTCAGACGCAGCGGAAAGAAGTGGCTAATCGCTCTCGCCACCACCACATGTAAAGACGCCGCGGTGATTTTCACTGACTCGCAAGCCGCTTGCCAGAATTATGTGAAGGGCCGCGTCTCAGCCGAGGCAATTAACATCCTGCAACGGCAAAGCTTTCCACTTCCATATACCTGCGTAATCTGGGTTCCTTGACACAAGGATATACAGGGAAACGAAGCGGTTCACGCCGCTGCCCGCGAGCACGTCAGCCGGGCTGCCTTGGGACCAAAGGATACCCGATTCGTGGCTGCAGAGATGGAGGTAGTAGAAAAACACCTACTCGTCTCTACTTCAACACTACAAACTGGAGCAACGGGTGTACCCTCCACCCCATCCAAGACTAACTAAAGAAGACAGCGTCATTTTCAGACGCCTACAAAGCAATACTACATACATGGGATATTAATGCACCGCCTCTACCCAACGACAGATGGCTACATGTGCCCGCTCTGCAGCGTACCAGACACCCTGGCACACTTGCCCCCTGAATGCCAGTGCTATGCAAACCACGACGTGCAACTGGAGCGGGACCAAGCCCCAAGAATAAACGATGACCACCTAATGGAAACGTGGGAGGCCAAGCTCGTCCTCGAGGACCTGGAAGACCAGCAACAACTCGTCGCCAGAGCCAAGAGGGCAGTCGAAGCCAGAGGGTTCCTGGACTAGGGAACCCTCCCACCTTAGGGTGACACCGGGCCTTGCTCGGAACACTGCTTTCTAATAAAGGTTTACTCCTCTCTCCCTTTCTCTGGTGGCATTTGGCGCGAACGGTTGTCTCTCGCAGTGGGACCCGTTTGCCGGGGGCCCTTGTGGTGAGTCAAATGTTGGCGCTGCCGCCTTGTGTTTGTTATGTTGTTGAGTGTTGTGTAATTATATGTAAGGTTGTTTAGCGTGTAAATCACAGTTGTTATAATAATTCGGCTGACAACATCGTCGATCAAAAAGTAGTTAAATAAACATGTGTTGTTTGGTTTGTTCTGACCGCATCGGCTGTGTTCGTTCACTCCATGAGCGTGGTGGCAGTCTCAACATTCAGACCCCACAACGTCTGCATTCTTCGGGAAGTGATAGATACGTTAATTCTCATCTGTCTACTGCGATTCCATGCATTGTGGCACACTGCAATGGTCCTTTGACATCGCTTTCTTCTTTTTCGGGCTTGCGCGTATGGCATGGTTAAAATAAAAGAGATACGCGGACGCTTCTCAACGCGTGCAACGTGGTAAATTATCTCCTTGCAAGGTTGACCCTGTTAGCGCCGTGTCCCGGCATGGCCGCTAGATGGCGAGCACTCAGTTGAAGTCTCAAATACCAACCCTAGCTTCACTGTCTGCTGGTTTCATTAGGCTTTTTCTATGAAGTGTATGACCGTCTGGATTTTTAGCAGATGACATGATGTCAATGGTGCTGTAACATTCTAATAGCCCATGTTTGTTACACTGGTGTAACAACAAGAACAGAGCCAGTGGCCACTAGCCCGGCTGGCTTTTCTTATTTTCCTTTTTTCTCAGTTTCGTCCTGTTTCAGAAGAAGCAGAATCGAACAGCTCCTTTGTCTTGTCCATTACAAAGGTTCTTGATTGCCAAAGGCAAACCAGTACCATTTGTGAAGTAAGCAATCAGACAATGTACTGCTTCTGCATCCACACGCTACTACAAAGCGCAATGCCAAAAGCATATGAGCAAAATGCTTAACTTATGTTGCACAGGCAGCACAATGAGTTACACAGCCCTCAGCAATTTGTACACTTAAACAACAACACATGGCGCAATGTTGCATCATACCATCAAAAGGCAGTTTCCCATACCTTTACAAGTTCCAGACCATGGGATCTGCAAAAAAAAATGTGATAAAAGGCTTCAATGCACTGAACACACCGCTCAGACAAGACAGAAAAATACGACAGAACTGTGTGAATCACGAGCATCACGAGCAGAGAGCACGCGAGACTCGGAAAGCATATGTCAGCCAGCATCAGTATGCAATCAGTTTCATCCCATGACACAGGTCCTGCCTCAGCAATTAGCATTAGGCTTATTTTTATGGCTTCTTAATTCATCGTTTCACCATTTTAGCTATAAGTGAGCTAACCATAATTTTTATCCTTAATTGACGTTTTTGCTTTTCCCATTTAGAGGTACCCTCAGTTTGCCTGCTCAATGAATACAGGTGGCAACAGTTGCCTTGCTTTTTTTGTCTATTCTGGCATCAGTTGTGTAGTTTGCGATTTTGGCTACCCTATGTCGGTGCTTTTTCTTGCATAAGTGTATTTTTATTCCTCTAACAAAATGACGAGAACTAATAGACAATCATGCTAAGGAAGGAATAGGAGACGTTATTAGACCTAATGTCTGATGTAAATGTGAAGAAAGAAAAGTAGACATAAAAAATAACGCACTGCTGGCAGAGACTAAACCTGCGACCTTCGAAGCATGTGTCCAATGCTTCCCCAACTGAGCTATAGTGGCAGGTCATCTCCCCTTCCACTTTATGCAGTATATATGTACATTTTAAAACTTGGAGTGTGAGTCAGCACCGCTAATAGCCATGATGGCGAGTGTCGAAAGCTCAAATTTTGCCTGTTGGACTCGCGCAGAATGTAATCTTACTACGAACTGGCAGATAATTCCTTGGATGCTATCTGAAAAAGTTTCCCAGAACGAGACCCTCGCCATGAATGAAGTGGAAATTTACTTTTCTTATTTCACATTTACCTTACGATTGCCACTAACAACATCCTCTATACTTTCCTTGGCATCATCATCTGATAGTTCTCATTATTATTGTGTCTAAAAAAGCAAAATTAGCCTTTAAATTTCCATTACTTTCCTTCCAATGAAATGATGTGTTTCGATGCCAACGTTTTCCAGAGACCTGTCATCCGAGCTGTTTGACTGGTATGTCAAAGTTCACCCAACTATGTCGCAAACAGTGCTCTTGAACAATGAACCTAGCAAGCATTTTTTATCAACAAGGGCATGGAGTGCTCAGTAGTATTGTCTAGGCACGATACAATAGAAACACAGAACTTGTACATAGTATTTTCGTCTGGTTTATCCCAATATCTCATCTACTCATAAGGCAGTGCGAACTGTCCAATTATCAAAAATCACACAATACATGAATCCAGCGGAATGTTAAGAGATACAACAGAAGAGTGAACATAAAGCAAAAACAAAGGAACATGTAAACGCATCTTTTTGCATTAATATGTTTGTCTAGGTGTAACGATTCATTTCTATGTCAAATTGAGAAATCTGAACATCAATTCACAGACACCAATTAAGGGGGGAAGACGAGCTGCCGCCTCCCCCCTTTCCCCACTAGATTGAGAACTCAGTACCTATGTCTAAAGTTCTGGCTTAATATAAATTGCACAAATAGAAAAAAAAATCTCCAAGTCACAGAAGCTGAACATAACACAATTTTTGGAGTGCAGGAACCACAGTAAATTTTAAGACTATAGATTTAATCTTAGTCATGGTCTACATCAAAGAAATGTTAAAAGTGACTAAGCATCATGCGTGCAAACTTTTTCCCAAATGCACTGCAGGTAAGTAGAAGGCAGCGCCAGTATTCTTGAACAGCATTGTACTTCAACACCTACTTGGTTAAACAAGAGAACCAATGACATCTAGTCCTAATTGTGCAACAATTATAGAAATACCAGGCATATTTTCAATATTGCAAGAGCAGCCAAGGTTAAGAAAACCAAAATCGGTTGTGATCTTATGATTTTTCTTGTGTCTGCAGTTTTTATTCAGCTCGTGATGGTTTGCATGTGACACATACCTTACAACTAGTGCCGTGTATATGCAATAATAACCATTTGTTTAACATTAACGTTATGCACCATGTGGCAAAAATCACTCACCTGCACTCGTGGTACATCTAAATGAAAAAAAAAAACTAGATGCGGTAACCATATAGAGTTAAATAAATTATGCATAAATTTAGCCCACCATTAACATTGACTCCTTCCTTACCCTGACAACAATTTCAAGGAGCTATGTGAGAGCAATGCTGCCTCAGCTTCACTGAGTCAAAAATGATTGCCATTCTGAAAAGTTGCACACATGACAGTTTACTGGTCCAGTTAAATAAGCACATTCCTTTGGTGAATCTGCACATACCTCTAAATATGTGATTCGTCCCACACTGAAAGCGCCAAATGCATACAACTTGAAAAACGACGTTTTTGTTTTGTGTGTGTGTGGTTAACGAACAGCGTATCATAATACGTGCCCTCTGCTGTGGTGAAGCAACTTTGAAAATTTGGCTGGCATTCCCTAAACTAATGTACGAACAGGGCCAGTTGCGGGCAATGACAGTTTTGTTTACCAAAAAGGCTGTCGAAGCACCAGTTTTCGCCAGGCAACAGGAGATCTGCCTTCGATTGAATTGAGGCACAATTGTAGCTGAGAAAAGTATTACCTTTCAAAAACATTTGTCCTCACACCACAGCAGAGAAATATCTTCATCTAAAGCACAGAATTAGCAACATATGAACACATCCTATGTTTAAGGTGTCTCACTAGTATCTGTACGCGTGATATTAATTTAAAATTAGGCGTGTCGACGGCTTTGAGCTCGATAGCGCTACTACTGCTGTCTCAAGAATAGCAACTTTAGAAGCGCGCATTCATGGCGCGCAAAATTTTTAACCCTGCTCTTAACTAAACTAAATGTGCAGCTAGTCTATTCACGTGGCGATAGCCCGCCACCCATAACCCCGTCCGCCAAACAATACTCGGCTGCCTAGTAATGCTAGACAGAGCACGGCACGGAATCTCGACGCCGCTATGGTTCGAACGCCGTTCAGGAGACACAGCGCGCGCGAGGCGACGGGGTGGGCGTGCTTACGCGCAGGCTTCCTTGAAGTCCTCGGTGCTCAATTCGCGGCTCTTCTTGCCGCCCCACCAGAAGCCGACGCGGGGGCGATCTCTGGACTCCATGTCGCACGCACGACTCCGTCTGTCAGTGCATCGTCGCGTCTGGCACGCAGCGAGCTCCTCCAAGCCGGCGGATGTCACCACATGCACCGGACGCACGGTGCTGATGCTGCGCGGAAGGCCATCACGTAATCCAACACGCGCGCCGATGGGGGCCGGTCGAACGCGTCCGGCCGTGGGCAGTGGCAGACGCTCCGAGCACGTAAAAACAGCTTACAACACAGCACGCACACACCACTTCAGCCTTGGCCTGTCAAGCTGCGAGCTCAGAGAACACGGCGAGCTCACAGAACACCTACAGGCGAGCTGCTGCGAATCTGCCACGCGACTACTGAACATGCAAGAAGTGCAAACCTTGTCTTCAATTTCAATAAAAAACTGCACAAATTGTGACAAATAAACGTTTGCAGCGCCATCTGTTGACGTTATTATTAAACAATTTTTTGCATGTTTAAAACTTTTTTTGATAAAATGTTATTTTTTTCAGTCACAGATGACGCTGCAGCACAGCAGTTTTAAAACATGAAATAAATTTTTGTACGTTACAATCATCCGAGATTGTCAAAAATTTCGCAAGTAATGTGATGGAACGCACACACACCGCCGCTGCACGTGACCGATCGTGGTTCGCGGGTTTTCCGCGATCGCTTCATCGCACCGTTGTCGTTGCGCAATATTTTCGCAATAATTTCGTCAGTCCTCGAGCTTGGTTCAAAACAACCACATTCCTCTTCTTTCTTTGCTATGCCTCCTCTCGTCGCGAATCCGTAATCTGAGCGCGATGAAAGGTAGTACGTCCGTCCGGTGATGTACTGGTGGATAAAACTAGGACCCAGTCGACACGTGCCAGCTCTCTGTGCAAGCCACTTTCACGAATGAACGGAAAACGTGACGACAGAACAAAACAGGGCAATTACATGAACTATGTAGCGATTAAATGAGCTATCAGCTAGCTTGAATTCAGATGTGCCCGTTTTGAAACGCACACCGCAAACTGGAGTTGAACGAAATAACGGTGCCCCAGCAAGGCGTTTCCAGAACTGTTTTTAATGATGTTTACTTTATAAATAAGCATGTATATGTTATTTCGCAGCTCAAGAGTGGTCTTGCAATACTGGGGGGTTATTTACCAGGCAAAACTCTGGGATCGAACGCACGAAAATTGGCGGGTATACGCCCCTTACGTGCCAAGAGCTGTGGGGTGACGAAAGTGGTTGATTGAACATGAGGAAAAAGGGGGAACGGAGAGGGCGACGGTGTGAAAAGAGGAAAAGCCTAAGGCTACAGTGGCTAGAATATTGCAACCACTGTAGTAAGACAGAGCAATGGCTGAAAAACGGAAGTTACGGTGAAGGGGGGGGGGGGGGAGAAAATAGCAAGGGAATGGGAAAGATGAGAGAGTGAGGAGCAGAAAAAGGTCACCAGGCTCGGTCCTCACACCACCAATGCTTCACTGCAATTTTGTTGTTTCAAATTATTTTTGCGAAGTGCAGGTCGATTTACCAATATTTTCAGAAAAACACGTTTACATATGGTCCGTAAACTAGTGTTATAATGGAATGTGACGCTTTGAAACTAGGACAGAAAGAAATAAATCAGCCGAGCCAGCCGAAAGAGCACTCAGTTCCCGCAAAGAAAAAAAAATCCCGCATCTTCACGAAGCTATGTGATGACGAGTGGACGAAGCTATGTCCTAAGGTCCATAATGTGTATACGCTGAAGCCGCCGGCTAGTATAAGGACTGACGAACGGATGGCGCAGGTGCCATTATGCATTGTGCTGTCATATATTTGATGTGCACATAAAGTCGTTTTTTTTTACACAAATGTTTTCGTTTTTCATTGTGCAGGTGTTCGGTTTTGTGGAGCGTGACGGACGCGGCTCGGACCTAAGGAGCTTCGCACCGGATGTATGGATGGATGGATATGGCTGTACCCTTTAGATCGGGCGGTGACTAGCGCTACCAAGCCGTAATACTTAATGAATCAAAAACTAGATTTATTTTTTTTCTTTAAAAAGTGAGTTTGAGGATTCGTACTTTGCGGTGAAGGGTTTAATTTTCACTCGTGCCTTGACTTTAGCCACCAATCAGATAACCTCCTTCTAGTTAAGTCTACCCGCTTAAAGGCTATTTTGCCCTCCCGGTCCCTAAACCCCAGTGCTTTGAAAAACTCTGCGCCATCATGCTGAACTATAGGGTGAAGCCCTTTAAAGAACATTATCAAGTGTTCGGCAGTTTCTTCTTCCTCTCCACACGCACTGCATACTGTGTCTACCCCTTCGTATTTGACCCGATATGTCTTGGTTCGCAGTACTCCCGTCCTCCATGGCCTCAAACAGTAGAGAACTACCCCGAGTATTATCATAGATCCTTTCCTTGGCGATTTCCTGCTTAAAAGTTCGAAAGATCGCTAGTGCGGACTTCTTAATCATGCCCATTCTCCACATGTCAGTATCCGTTTCCTTCACTTTCTTCTTAACCGATAGTTCTTTTTGGTCTGGCCACCTGCTGTTTTCTAAGTATTTACTAGTCAATTTCCTGGTTCGCTTCCTCCATTTTGTATCGACATTCTTCATGTACAAGTAGCTGAAAACCTTCCTAGGCCAACGCTCCTCCCCCATTTCTCTCAATCGCTTCTCAAATTTTATCTTGCTGCTAGCTTCCCTGCCCTCAAATGATGTCCAATATCACCTTGTACTCTCTGATTTGGTGCATTCCCGTGAGATCATAAAGCAAGCCTACCTATTCCACGTTGCTTAATTTCTAATCTTGCTTGAACTTCTGATCTCATGCACAAGACCGCATTGCCGAACGTCAGCCCAGGAACCATGACCCCTTTCCATATTCCTCTCACAACATCATACCTATTGTAATTCCACAGTGCCCTGTTTTTCATCACTGCTGCATTCCTGTTACCTTTAGTCGTCCCGTATATTTCGTGTTCCCTCAGGTACTCGGTCCCATTGCTTATCCATACGCCCAGATATTTGTATTTATCTGTTATCTCTAACGTGAGCTCCTGTATTCTAAGCTCACTACCGTCGTTGTCATTGAAAATCATGACTGCTGATTTTTCCTTGCTGAATCTAAACTCTAACCTATCTCCATCATTACCGCAGACGTCCATCAATCTCTGCAAATCTTCCTTGTTGTTGGCCATCTTCCTTGTTGTTGGCGGTGGTTGGCCACCGCCACTTACCAACCGCGCCCACTAGCGGAGACATTCCGCACAGTTGCCGCGCCATGTTCGCGCGAGCCGAGTACGTTAGTTGTGGGGCTGGAACTTGGACATGCTCGCATCGTCTGTGGCATTACATATCGTTTGACGCCACTTTGTCAATGACAAGGAAAGACTCTGCATATCATCCAAGACAGCCGCGTTATGCCCCTAGGATTAACCAACTTCGCTGAAGGTTTTTATACTCGGCTAGAGTAAAATTATTTTTTTACCGTTACGGCTAGCTGTTCTTTTTAGGCTAATATAATCTTTAATCAAAGCTAGCTACTGTTTAATACAGAGCCGAGTCATGAATAAGTTGGGAGCCATAAAAATAAAGTGGATGGAAACATTCAACGCTACAAAACTCGTTAGATGGCAATTTCGCTTCAGAACATAAAATATTCAAACTCTCAACGACTTTCACAAATCGAAACATAGCGACACCTTTTAAGTAGACTTCAACGATAGCAGTGGGATGGGGCACATTCGCAGCACGTTTGATTGACCAATGAACAACCGGTCGATGCGCGAAAGCTTCAATTTACTCGCTGACATGCATCGAAATACCCGACGATCGAGTTGGTCGAGTTCCCGGCGTGCGTCAGCTCCCCGAGGTTGCGTGTCCAGGCGCAGGCAGCCCTCCTCACTAAATCACGCAGCGTAGTAAATGCTATGCGAGCATCTTGTTGGCGACTGAGAAACAATAAAAAATTAAGTATATACCTTCGCACTAATGGTGTCAAACTTGAAGAACGGTTGCTTGGTTGACCTTATTCATTGAACCCACCATGGGGGATCGACCAAGAAACGCCCAATACTCAGCACTTGTTTGTTCATTTCTTTGTAGCCTGGAATCCATGGCGCGTACCCACTCTGGGGGATCTCAGTACTTGTACACCCCCCCCCCCCCCCCACAGGCACAAACTCAGACCATACATTGGCGTAATAGATAGAAGCGCTGCGACTCGTGAAGGGGGAGGGGTTGTCGCAACGTCTGGCCCATACAATGACCTAATAGGGATGAGGGGGGGGGGCGCTGTAACAAACTCTCACCCCTCCCCCTGTATGTGAACCCTGCGCACGCTTTTGGTGGGAACCTAATCCTACACCCAGGGATGCATCGCGAAGAGAGCGGGACGAGTAGTGTGGAAATAAGTTGGCCTGCCATTGCCGACGCCAATGTCTCCCTCTCATAGCCCTTCTTTTTCCTTTCCTCCATGCCGTATCGACACCGTGTACGCCGCCCCAAGGAGAATCGACTTCCAGCTCACGCCAGTGGCGCACACGCACCGCGATGGCACTGGGCAGACAGGCCTTGGTTTTGTTCCTGCTGCTGACGTGCATGATTCCGGCGTTGATTCTGCGCGTGGTCGGCGAGCTGCTGTGTTGGAAATCCGAGCGGGACCAGGCCGTCAAACTCGACACCGCAGCTGTGGTTGTGCGCCTTATTTCAGGTACACAAGTGACAGGATGAAGAGGAGAGAGCACGGCGGTGGCGTAGCCAGGGGTAGCACACCAGGCCCGTATCCCCCCTCCCTCCCCAACCTGAAATTTTATTTCGCCATGACACACAGAACGGAAGATGACTATATCAAAGCGGTGTCCCCCCCCCCCCCCCCGAAAATGTTATGGACCATCTCCCGATGGGAACCATGATGGGATGCGAAGCAGCATCGGTGCGCTCGCCATTGACCCGGCTGAAACGGGCGTCGACGCGGGTTCCGGAAGAACGGTTTGAAGCAAAATTCGGTGTAGCCTTTTCTCGAGTAAACGTTTCTTTGAAACGCAAATTCACGGGAGGCGGGTTGCGTTTCGTGTAAGTTTCATCGCAGATAAACGAGCCTTGCGGTCGAGCGTTGCGGACGATGGAGAGGGTGAAGCGAGAGAGAATTAATTTGTTGCGAGCGGGTGGAGGAGCAACTCCACCAGAGAGGAGCCGGCAGCCGCTGCGGGTGAGGAATAGGGTGACGTCAACACGCAGCTGCGACTTAACCTACTTGACATCGTTACAACAACTGGGGCGGGGGGAACGTGGTGGGGCGCGTTGGCACGGAGACACAGACAGACAGCGTTACACAGGCTAGTCAACGAGCTGCTTCGCATCTCAAAAAATTTCGCCTACGCTTT